CTAACCCTAACCCTAACCCTAACCCTAACCCTAACCCTAACCCTAACCCTAACCCTAACCCTAACCCTAACCCTAACCCTAACCCTAACCCTAAGAACTACGATATATATCACAAAGTAAAGTACGTATAATATAAACTATACGGCTTACTATAAATATAGTAAATACTAGAAGAGGTATAGTTAATAATCGCACTAAATTTTATTACAAAGCTACTAAAATTTATAGAGCCTTTTACGGGCGTAGACTTTAATAGTATACTAGTAATAAACGATATCCTAACGAAGTATACGTACTTTATACTATATAAGGAAGTATTAATAGTAGAAGACTTAGTATACCTACTATACAAAACAATTATCGCATAATATGAAATACTAAAGGAAATACGCTTAGACCGAGACAAACTATTTATATTATAATTTTAGTAGTTACTAATGAACCTTATTAGGATACACTAGAAAATATCAATAGTATATTATCCATAATTAGACGAATAAACTAAGAGAACGAATTAAACACTCGAATAGTATCTACGATACTATATTAGCTTTAAACAAAACGACTAGGTATAACTACTACCGATAGTATAGTTCGTATTTAATAATAGTGCATTAGTAACGAGAATATCACTATTCTACGCAAATTACGGAAAATACTTAAATATTGAATAGGAACTAAGAGGAATCAAACTAATCGTAGAAAAAGCAAGAATATTAATAGACAAACTAAAGCAACTACACAAAATACTATAAATAATATTATAAGAAGTAATAAAGAAAATAATAATTTAAGCAAACAAGAAAAGATTTAAGGGACTAAACTTCTACGAGGGGAAGATAGTTTATATCTTACGAAAAAACATTAAAACATAACGATTAAGCGATAAATTGGACCATACTAAAATTAAACTATATAGAGTTAAAAAGAAGTTAGGAACTATAATATTCGAAATCGATCTACCTAAAGGCATAAATATTTACCTAGTGTTCTATAAGTCCCTTATCGAGAAGGTACCGCTAAACGCTAAACTAGGATCGATACTAATATATAAGGAAATATAGTAGCCGCTATATAATATCGAAAGAATTTTAGATTATTAACCTATTAACGAGAAGCACTACTACCTAATTAAATAGTTAGGATATAATAGTTTAGAAAACACGTAGGAACCACTAGAATATTTACTAAAAAATCTCATTAAAGAATACTATTAGGGGAAATAACGGAAAAGACTTATCAATAGTATTCGACTACTATAAAGGACGATTAATTAAGATTAGACCCTCGAAACTAAATAGCGAACTAAGCTTAAGCTCAAATATATTTTCTAACTACGCGTTATTAAGATCGATAAACACCGTCGACGACGCCTACTCGAGGGGATTTACGTTATTTAATTCGTCTAAGGCGTTCACTTCCCGAACCAATATTTTCTTTTGTTTCTCTAATAGTTCGTTAGCTTTACGCTAAAGCCGCTTACGTTTTAAGTAAGCCTAAGCCGCTATAACCTAAGCTCGAGAAGCTACCTCTAGTAGCTATTAAAGTTCGTTACCCTTACGGCGCGCCGCTTCGATTAGGCGATTCCGTTAAGTAGTTAAATAATCGAACTTAACCGTCGAGAAAGTACTATCGTAGTATTTCACTTCTTTTTTAGTATAAGAAGAATACTTACTATGCCTATCTAATATAAAACATACCGAGTCGGAATCCTAATAAGGCGTATAGCGACCCATCTCGAACCTCTCTAAACCTAGCGACTCGATTCGTATAATAAGGTCGTAGCGACGAATAGTGGACGATCGACTCGGTTTAGAAACTCGATACTAAGGCATCGTTAGCCATAACGGAAGAAAGAGAGAGGAAGGCACGAGGATAGGAGAAACGACTTACCTTAAGTACGTTAAGGACAACGTATAGAGAAGGAGGGGGCGAGTATTACGAACCAAGATATACGACTAGGTTATAACTAGGGCGTAGTCTCCAAAAGAAAGTAGGTCTAACGAGAGGACACGTGCAAGCACTATATTAGATTACGTGACTATAGAAGTGCTTAGCCCTACTTAGTGTGCTTAGTACTAAGCACCACTAAGTGTACTTAGTGTGCTTAGTACTAAGCACCACTAAGTACACTAAGCACTCACGACTATATATATAACTAACGAGTCCATAGCTTTCCTTCGTAGTTAACTTCGTTAACGATTATACCTATACGTTTAAGTATCGATTAGTCTCGCTTAAGACACTCGACGTGCTCTCTTACTACTATACCTTGATACTTCCCCCTACTCAGGAACCCCTTGTCTCGTAACACCTCGATAGAGCGATTTATAATATAAAGAATTAAATCTTATATAATAAATTATTATATTATAAAGAACTAAGTTAAAAGTCTTCGTAAAGTAAATTTTATAGTTACTTTAATAAAAAGAATTCTTAATAGAAAATTAAGAAATATAAAATATTAATAAGTAAAAAAAATACTATCGAGAATTAAATATAGAACTTAAAAATAAAAAAAATAAAAAAAAAGAATTTTATTATAAGCTATAGTTTTATTAAATATAAGACGATAATATATAAAAAATTCTATAAAAAATTAAACTTTACGTAATATTTAACTATACTATAAAGAACTAAATAAAGACTCTTAAGCGATATAAATTATAGATTATAAGTTTATCGCCTAAGAAAGTTCTTAGTAAAAAATATCGTAAAATAAAATATTACTTATAAAAAGAAAAGTTATTTATTTATTTAGAAATCTTATTTTTAATAATATTAAATATAATATTTTAATTTATTATATTATTTATAAAAATCTTAAATTAAGGAAGATTCGAATTAACGAAAGCTCTCGACTCGTTAAGGAGCTACTTATTAAGAATACTAAGAGTCTATATCTTCTTACGAATTATTCTTAAAGAAATCTCCTCTAAATAAGTTATTAAGTCTTAAAGCTAAGAATCTTTAAACTTTGTATTAGTTAATATATAATAAAGATACGCTATCTCTTTTCGTTTTCGACGAGATTTCTCCTCGAAAGACTTCTTCTTATTCACTACCTTTTAAAACTTTTTTAGAGAAAAGAAACTATTATATTTTATATTCTTTCGAATATAATAAGAGTATCTTATCGAACGCTCTTTCGAGAAATAATATATATCGCCTAAATAAATATAGTTAGAATAAGTAACTATAGCGAGAAAAATAAATAACTTAATAATATTCGTTAAGTTAATACGACGCTTAGTTAAACTAGGCTTTAACGCTCGATCGGCTTAACAAGATATTATTAACTATAGTATAAAAAAGAGCCTAAGACTAAGAGAGGAAGACTTACGCTTATATATATTAAAGATAACGATAGGTTCTAAGAAGGGAAAAGTATTACGAACTAGCCTACGGCTAAGTCAAGAGATATTAACGCCGCTAAATATAGGTTACCAATAGGTAAGATTACCGAAGGTATAGCCTTATTAATAATAAGGCTAAGTTACGTAATACTAATCTATTTAATCTACTAAATCTATTAATCTATACTAATCGCATAGATTATATAGATTATATAAATTATAGAGTAAGAAATAGTTATATATACGACTAACGAGTCCATAGCTTTCCTACGTAGTTAACTTCGTTAACGATTATACCTATATATTTAAGTATCGATTAGTTTCGCTTATATAGTAGCGTGCTCTCTTACCACTATACCTTGATACTTCCCCCTGCTCAGGAACCCTTTGTCTCGTGACACCCTAGTGGAGCGATTCATAACAAGGGACCTAAAACTCGATATAAATAAGCTAGAAATCTAAAAAGACGAGAGATCTTACGATGAAAACTATAGACTTTTAGATAAAAAAGAACTCTTGGACTCTATCGTACTTGAAATCTTGGAGTTTTCGATGCCCATCAACGAGTAGGATAGTAGGTAGAGTCGGTCAATAGTATACTGTCTGCACCTTACCTTGCCTCGTCTATCTCTTCTTTTCTTTCTCAGTGGAACTTGTTCTTCTCCGCCTCGACGTCGTTCTCCAAAAACACCTCGATCTTCGGCGTCATCTTAGGCCCTATGTCGCTGCAGCAAATGCTGGCAATGATGCCAACCACGCCGAAAGCAAGGGCGCTCAGTTCCGTTATCCTAAATTTTTTTTAGGGCCTTGGTTAGCGTTGTCCTAGAAGAGTGACAAGTAGAGGGAAATCCTTTTACCAGGACAAACAAGGAACGGGCTCCGACGGTGTTACTCACTTAAACCCATGGACATAGCTGTTCTGGAGCGCGACTTCCGCAGCTTCGACAATCGCCGCGGTCATGCCCGGGACTTTAAAGAGGGCGGTAGAACCAAGTGGCAACGCTTTTAAAACTGCAGGCACGTCGAGTGGGTTGAGGCCCGCACGTGTGACGGCTTCAGGAACCAGTTTGGCTGCGCTGGCAGATTGTGTATTGCCAAGAATGGTGGAATATACGGCGACGGCGAGCGACCCGCCAGCCGACCGAAAGACTCCACTGTCCGTTGAAGAAAGCTGTTAGAATAGAGGGTCGACTCAAGACTGACCAAGGATAACGCCGCACACGCTAAGAGCGCGCACAGAAGAGACAATAGGGGACTTACGCAAGGCCCCCAGCAATCCCCAACTCTACTTGATCTGTGCCAAACTGGATGAAAGTGATGGAGAGGAATTGCGCCCAGCCATATGCGACGTTAGAGAGGAAGAAGCAGGCAATGACTAGTCCTTTCCGGGCCGGTGTCCCTAGGGCAAGAAGAGCTCCCCAGAATGTCATGAGCGTGACGGCACCGGTCAGGGTCCATCTCCAGTGGCCAACCCTACCGCCAAAATAAGATAAAAGGATCGTGCCGACCAGTAAACCAAATCCTTGCGGGAGAGATAGGTAAATAGCTCGGCGAAAGTCGCTCGTCGCCGTAGTGAAGAATACGGATATCATCGTAGGGTATACGACGTTAGCTCCGTAGTAGAACCTTTGCGCAGAGAGCGAGCATGAGTACCAAGGGTCTAGCTAGATTAATCATCTCTCGAGGAAGTTGACTCACATAGTTACAACAAATCCGACGACGCACGGAGCAGTAAGATCACGGCCATAATTTTTGGCGAAAACGCGTGGCGGTGTGAGTGGTTGCTTCAAGGATGCAAATGTCTCCCAAAGAGCAAATATAATCAATGCCCCAAAACCACTGACTTAAGGTAGCGTTAGCGTTCAATCTGGCAGACTCCCCTTTCTTGGCGCTAGGAGGCGGTGGAATTGAATTACCTAGGAGGCCGATTACCGTTGGGCTGGAAGCCGGTAAAATACTCGTGTAAACTATCCCGGTCAAGATTAGGCTCACGGCCACGGTGAACAAAAGGCCTCCGAAATAGTCTAAATCACGGACAGCCTGACGCCATGGAACCTGTACAGATGCAAATTAGCAAGAACTGTCCTGTGCACTGCAGATGACGGATTTTGACACCGGGACGTACTCCTCTAGGATGCTTTGGCGGGTAGTATAGCATAAAGAGCAGGCCAAATGAAATAGCTGCGCCAATAGCTGGACCGTAATACAGCCAGCGCCAGCCGTCACCGGAAATAATAGCGTATCGTGCTCCCACAGGCCCGATAATGATGGTTCCAATGGTAAATCCATCGGCTAGTGCAACACCAATATGACGCCACTTGTTAGGGAGAAGCTCGGGCAAGGCAAAAGCAGCCAATTGGCAGTTGCCGCCACCAAAGCCGATGATGGTCATGGCCGCAATGACCGTCTTCGTTGATTTGGCTGAACCTAATGCCACCGTCAGAGTTTTGGCGCAGGCATATTTGTGCAAGACATTGGTCTAGAGTAGCAGAGAATGTTACCAACCTGCAACGATGTACCTGTAGAAACAAGCCAGATCAGTGAGCGAAGGAGGCTTGCGGAAATCGATCGCACAGTCCTCTTACCCAAGAAAAACCAAAACGTTGCCTCCCAGAATAAACCAACGGCGCCCAAAAAGATCACTATGCCGACTGTTAGCACACCAATCTCTAACCGCCATACGATTCCGCCAGTCTTACGAGTTGGCTCCGCAGAGTAGAAAAGCCACAGTGAGGGCCAGAGTATAGACGGACGTGAACCACACGGCGTCGGCAGGGTTACCCAGCTGGGTCGCGATGGTGGCTGATGCGGTGCTGATACTAGGAATAACCCAAAATGAGATGCCATATGAGGCCGAGAGTACCTTGTAACAATGAGCATCAAACACCGAGCAGTGGGTATTGAGCAGGAACGCAGAGGTGGACACATTGAGCATAACCTACAAAGACCACGACCCACGCTTTGACAGTAACAACGTCGTCGGTTGCCGCCAACGACTGTTGCTCCAATTCAGAAGCCGGTTTCGGCGATACTCTCTTGATGTATGAGGGCTGCTCGAGGTGCAATGCATTCGGTGGGGCAGAAACTGGCGTAATCTTTTCTGTCGTCATGGTTGATGTGGTAACAGTAGGCACAAGAGACTTATCGGGCTATCACTTTCTAGCTGAAGTAGAATGCTGGGAAAGAAAATCTGGGTCCCCATGGGGATATCACGATATAAAGATCCACATGGCCAGGACGCTTGAAATGGTGGAGACGGGCATAGTAGTCCGCGGCTTACCCGCAGTGCCTTAACGCACGGTAATCGAATTCCAGATGATGCCTCAGACTGTAAGGAGACCAAGGTTGAGACGGAGAAGTCTATTTCGCCGTCTGGTGGAGTGCAGTCTTTTCTATGTATGGTCAATCCGCTCAATGGTGCAAGAGTGTGTGACAGGCGAGGGCCCAATGGTGCATGACTGAGCCCAAATGTGAGATCAAAGCCTCGGCGGTGACCGTAGGACGCGGCCAACTGTCATTCACGGTATAGTCAACCGGCAACTACACGACTGTAGGTACTGTTACTGTTTCAGACTCGCTGCACTAGATGTGTCACTGCACGGAATTTTCTAGTGGCCAGCAAGACAATTCGTCAATTTGGCTTTCGCAACTATGAACTCTATGCGCGCACTACGTAGCGAAGAGAGATCGAAGTAACAAATTGGACGAATAGGAATTTGATTGCCGAAAACCATCGCGTATTTTGCAAAATATTGGTATCGAAAGAAACTTCCAGGGCTCTGAGACTCTGTCCACTTGTGCCGATCTGCCGAACAGCGGCCCCTCTTGCCAATGCAAAAAGGGTCGCCGCTGAAGCCACGTACAAAGGTAGTGCCATGGCCATGCATGGCGACGTATCTTGCACCAAGACGGTGATCCATCACTTCGGGCGCCTGTACACCGTGGTTGATAACGCTAGCGTCATCTATCCGGCGCAGCCCCCCGAGCAGCTTCGGCGAGGCCAAGTATGACGCCTATATGCTGTGAACGTCAAACAGCTATACTTCATTATGAGGTTATCATCCCGTGCTGGCTATAACAGCAAGGTAAGAATGGAAGAGGAGAAGGCCCAGAGGCTTCACGAGGTGGTCCTTTTGCAATGTCTGAAATATTAGTCCACCACGGCCGCGGACAAGTCTGGTCTGGTACTCTGCAACAAAGGGGGCAATCAACAATGTAAATGTCTCGAGAGTGGTTCTCTAGGTTCTGCCATAAGAAGTTATAACTGACATGTGTGTGTACTGTAGGCGACGAGCGGGCTGGCCACTGAATAGGCGCCTAAAGTCATTCGCATCAGCGGTGTCAAACCTACCACATCTCTCTTAAGTGGACCTAACAGCCCAGAAACCAGGAAGGACTGGCTGAAGTAATACCACTAGGCTGGTCCGTGGATATAGGCAACGCACTACTTCTTGGCCAGTGATAATGCTGCCTTTCTCACAGGAGTTATACTTAACATAGATAACGGAAAAGGCATTTAAGACAAACCTCATAATTCAACAACACGCTATTGGGCAGTATGGATATTCCGACTTGCTGCGATCTCATACTGCTTTATGCCCGACTCCAAGTAGTCATTCTGGAAAGGGTTGGGATTAGTTAGTTATCTATATGATTCTTCTGCATCTTCAATCGGCCTTCTCTACATCGTTTGATTTTTCTCCCTCGTTTCTAACATGCTTTTCCCTCAAAAATTAGCTCGTGTGCTGTTCTTGTCTTTGATGCTTCACTGCCAGCGAGGAAGACGGTTGACATCACTTGTTCCAGAGCACAAGAACTCTGCTAGGCCAGTCATCTTCTCATGTCCCAGACCGATGGGGCCTCGTGGTCGGCTTTCGTGTTTTATCCGCCTTGCGGGCGTATCTGAGAGACGCTGATGAACATCACTATATATCATTTTTGGACTTGGACGACGACATTGGGAAATCAGGCTAATCCTGAGGTTCTCGCTTAGGAGAGTTCTCTACTTTAATATGATAGTCTTAAGCACATTTTCTGTCCCTAAAACTCGTCTAAGGTTATAATTATTAGTTGTAGCACATGACCTAGAGCCGCCTTCTAGTTAACAGCTTCAACTCAGTATAATACACCATTCCAGAGATCCACATATGGCTCAAAGAAAGAGGCTGAACATTCCACCGCTTTAACTATATACCGAGTAGTCTATCATTGATAGGCTCTAACTCAGTGAAGGTCTTACTTCTCTTCGCAGCTTTACCAGTCTCGCATACACCCTGGACATGATCGGACGGCACAACCTTGCGCTCGAGCGCAATATCAAAGTCGAGGATCTTGGCCGCAGGTAGGTTCACTTTGCCGCTCGTTCCGCATGATTAGGCCATTATCACTCTCCCGTAATTAGCGGTGAATACCACCATCATCCTCGGAAGACATAAATATCACCTCCATATCGTCCGCATTACCGACCACGAGAAGCTACTTTCCACTTCCCACGGACTTAAGTGACCGTCGTATAGACACCCGCCGCGTCTCGTCTTCGGGCGTTTTTCGAATTGTAAAGCTTCCTCGATACTTCGGTATAGGCTTGTTCAAAGCTCGCAGGTCCCGTTCGAGACGAAGCATCCAGCGGTTGCACTGGACCTATCTCGGCACACCAAATATCCGATGCTTCTGCTTCCGCCTCTTCCACGGGGTTGTCCACTCCCAGTGCACCGTCCACAAACTTTCGATCTCCGAACGAGATGGCATCGAAGAAGCCCCTGGCAGCTGACATAGCGAGGGGGCTTCAGTGATTGTAGACTATACACTGGGCTTCTAGGGAAGGCCTCGGCGAGCTTGGCCGAGGATTGTATGCACTGTGCGGTGCACTATCCATTCGCACGAGCATGGGTCGAATCACTAAAACACAGGGGCCAGCCTTAACCTCTTGCACGCGGAAACAACACTGAAGCCACGGTCGCCGCTGAAGCATATCAGCTGGGGGGTTACCAACCGTGAGCAACGACTCGAACAACTAACAGACTAGGTGGACGACCTCGACCGTACATGGATGAATCAGTCGACATCGTCACAACAGCGCTGCAGCCCTGGGCGCTCGAACATATCAAGGCGATGGATCAACGTTTCTGGATGCGAATGACCGCGGCATGCTTTCCAGTGGGTGGCACAGCGTCGCTGCATAGCGCAAGCGATGCTCTTTCTTAAGGTATCTAAGATTAGTTTGTGTTATGAGGTTGCGCCACCATCAACTACAGAATAAAGTACCATTAGTCGTCAGATGTAATTTCATCAAAGAAGGAAGGTTAGGGATCTGCGCACCGGTATATACAGCGCCAGTGATGAAGCTTGCATCATCACTAAGCAGGAAAGCTGCTAACGCTGCAACCTCCTCCGGCTGACCGGTCCGCTGAAGAGGCATCGAATTAGGTGTCATCATCTTCGTGTCATGATCATCGTTGGGTGTCTCTCGTAGCCGCTGGAACATAGGTGTTTCAATGGGTCCTCTGGTAGGCGTTAGCTAGGGGATTGCAAATGTGATGCCAGACTTTGCACTTGGTTGTGCGGGACCTACGGAGCAACAGCATTCACTCTGATGCCTTTCGCACCATTCTCCCGTGCGGCCGTTCGCGTCAGACCTATCACGCCGTGTTTGGCGACGCAGTACGGCGCCATACCTTCCCTGCCTCGTAGGCCCCCAATACTGCTCGCGTTAACAATTGAACCACCGCGTTTCATGGCCTTTACTTGAGCACGAATGCAATACATGACCCCGGTCAAGTTGACAGACAGAACGAATTCCCATTCCTGGTTGGTGACGTCGGAAATCTGCGTAAAGACGCCGTGTTTTCGTTCAACACCCGCGAAATTGGCGGCACCGTCAAGCTTCCCGAAATGTTCGACCGTGGATGCGATCCAGCTATCGACCTGCATATCAGAAGTAACATCCACGACGGTTCCGAGGACATCTGCACCAGTAGACTTGAGATTCGCGACTGCATTTGCTAACTGTTCCTTCTGATTATCGCAGAGGGATAGTCTTGCTCCACGTCGAGCGGCCGACTTTGCGAGTTCGAAACCGATTCCCGAGGCCCCCCCCGTGATACAAATAACTTTCCCTTCAAGACTAGCCATCCTATTTTAGATCTGGCAATACTCTCTGTCCTAGAACCGAATACTCCTTCGTTCTTCAGAGAGTTATTTGCTAGCTTCTAGTTGTGATCGTAAACGACCTTGCAACTATTTATACTGACCATCAATGCTTGCAGCATCGATCAAAAGAAAAGATGATCATTTCCACTTGGTGGTCGAACCCCGCACGGAGAGAATCTGGCCGGCTTACGGTTTCCGAGTGAGAACTTCCAGTTCCGTTCGTGGACTAAGCAGAAAGTAGGAGGGGCTTTTCTCCCCAGTTCCGAGCCAACTAAGCCGAGCACCGAGTGACTCTGTCTGAGCCAGCAGAAAATTAGTTCGACCCCTGAACCTATTTCGCCGCTATTGGCGTCGAGCTTTAGCCGTTTCAAGATCAGATTACGCGCTCTGAGTAGGGGGTTCGCACCTAACCCGAACGCTAGCAATACACATTTCAAGATCCGGCACAAGGACCTCAAAACTGGGCGGACCATGAGCCTTTGATTGAACAGGCTGATCGAGCTAGGCATCACATTCCAGGATGCCCAACAGAGTCAGCCGATGAATAGCCATTCGAGGGACTAGACCGACTCACAATGCGGTGTTCATGCACACAAGAGTCGACCGGTACTCGTTGAAGTTCCGTCACCTCAACCTAGACACTAGTTTGAACGTTCTCACAGCCTACGAATGCCGCGACGGACTTGGGCGGACTCATGGGCCGACTGGTGCTCGTGGTCTGTGGCTTTATTTTCCGTCTCACAGCCTGTCCCCTTCGTCGATACTATTCAGTGTCCAACGTCTTGTATCTGCTGATCTGTGCCTTCCGTCTCAGACTTGGGCACAGCTACCCGACCACGAATAAGGGTACAGGTTTTGCTGTTGGTCTTGGACCGCATGCCTCAGATATGGCTGGCACAATAAGAGCATAAATTGTCGCTCCAGTGCTGGAATTGGCGGTCTTCGATGCTACTAGCTATCGCATTCGTTGATAGAATCGGGTATCATCCTCCGGATTGCATAGAGTCCACAGGGATGCACTAACCCTGACCTCGGGTAACAGTCCCTTTTACACCCTGTTTTTGGCTATATAGTATAAGACCGCCTTCTGTATTAGTAAGTATACCCTACCTGGTGGTAAAACCCTCTGTGCAGACATTGATTCTCCTTTGACGAAGCATTCTCACGATGGTGCACCAACACAGCCACACAAGTCGCTATAACCGGCTCGTTGCTGTAGCTGCTGCTTTTGGCTCTTTGGTAAGATATTCTCTCGCTCCTTCCAACGGTGCTCACTCAAATCCCAGACATACGGATACTTGGCCTCTATCATTGGCAGTACTATCGGTCAGCCGGGTTGGTACGCGTTCTTCAACCTGCCCACCACAGGACAGCCTGGCTACGCTACCACAACAACAAATGCTATCGCCACTGCCAATGGCCTTTTCAGTGGAGGAGCGGCTTTAGGCTGCATTTGGATTATGTGGGCAGCTACATCTCTAGGCCGTAAGCGCAATATCCAGATCGGCGCACTTGTCTCCCTGCTTGGTGGTGCTCTTCAGGGAGGCGCAGCCAATCTCGCGTAAGTCTTTCCACATAAGCCACCCGCCTCTCAAAGACTTCTAACCTTTCTGCCAGCATGTTCCAAGCTGGTCGGTTCATCGCCGGTCTCGGGGTTGGCGTCCTGGTGACTATCTGTCCCATGTATCTGTCAGAGATAGCGTGGTGGCCCACGAGCCATCCACGTCGTTCAGGTGGAGACAGGCCTGGCAGGCCGATGATTGGCACCATACAGCCTCCTACTTCGGGAGATCTTCCGAGTGCTGAAGCGGTGGACCTCGATAAGCCGCAGGACTATTTAGTCCTGAATAGTGTTTCCACTCATATAAGCAAGAGGTCGTATCTACAATATGGTAGAGGATTCTACCCGGAGTGTTCGCGCTAGGGTTAGAAAACGACGCGACCGAGAGACGACTATCTCGACGGCGAGGGAGGGCGAGGGGTCCGACGGACCGCCCCTCTAGCGCGCGGAGTCGTCATCCCCGACTCGCCAAGATGGCTTTTGCAGAAAGGTAGGACTGAGGAAGCATGGGAAACGCTCAAGAGACTTCGAGAGACACCAGATGATCCAGATAACTTGGTTGCGAAGGAGGAGCTATACCAGACAAAACAACAGCTTGCTTTGGACACTGCGAAGCTGAAGAAGCTCAACATCACCCCATTAGGAGCCGTATTCAAGATTAAAAGCTATCGCAAGCGCATGATCATCGGCTTTCTTACTCAATGGGGTGCTGAATTTGGAGGGCCTCTTGTTATTGTGAGTATCATGAAAGCTGTATGCATGACTCCGCTGACTGCTGCCCAGAATAATTACTCTGTTATTCTCTACACGAATCTTGGACAAACAGGCTCTATGCCTTTACTTTTGTCCGCCCTCTGGCTGAGTACAGCTAGTAAGTGCCGTCCGCTCGTTGGTTTTGCTAGCAAAATTAATCAGATAATTCTAGCTCTTATTTATGCTCCTTTCGGATCCTGGCTTCACGACCGCGTTAACTCCCGACGATGGATGTTTATCATCGGACTTATTGGATGCCTTATCACCACAAGTGCAGTGGCTGGCTGTATTGCCCAATATTCTGGCACAGGCAACAAGGCTGGCAACGCTGTTGGTGTCTTTTTCGTCTTTTTTTACCTCACTTTTCAAGGGTAGGTCGATTCCGCGCTCAAGTGCACAGTACACTATCAGTGACTTACTGTCTGTGTAGTACTTGCTGTGATACTACGATGTATCTTTACGTGTCCGAGATCTTTCCGACCGAAGTGCGGCCTATCGGCATGGGCTTTTCACTCTTTGGTCAATTTGCTGCCACGCTTATTCTGCTGCAGACAGCACCAATCGGCTTTGTCACTATCGGATGGAAGTATTACCTTGTTATAATCTGTTGGTGCATTGTCTTCATTCCAGCTGTGTATTTATACTGGCCGGAAACTGCTCGACTTTCTCTCGAAGAAATATCGTCTAAATTCGGCGACGACGTTGCTGTTCACATCAACGATGTGTCAGAGGAGCAGCGGAAAGAGCTCGATGACTTTCTTCAGTCAACCGATATCATTCATCTTGAGGCTGTTAACTCTGCTCCGGCACAAGAGAAGATGTCCGCAACCCCTGAGATAGTGTAGATAGAACATGTATTCGATCGGTGCTATTTGTACATGACTTCTAAGCGGTGAGTCGTACGATAGAAAACAATTTTCATACAGGCAGGCAGGGTTAATGCAAATTGTTTGGAAAAGACATCGGGGCTGGAAGGGTGCGGAAATGTTATGATGACGATTCAACTCACTCAGGAAGGCAGCTTTGAGCTGAACCTAGACTTAGTGGCATGGTAACCATAATCGCACATGCTCGCTGCCTTTGTGCACAGAGATAGTGCCCACTCCGAATAAAAGTCTGCACATTCAACGAAGTGTATGCAAGATCTGAACGGAGGCGCAACTTGTCCCTTGGCAATGGTAGATCTTGGTTCACTATGATCTGAATCCATGCCGTATCCTCACCTGCTTCCGCCAACGCCAATACTTCTGAATCGCCAGACTGCAACCTTTAAAGTCTACCTTTAAAGTCTGGCGATTCAGCAGCCGACACGGTTGAGACGCGATGCCAAGCATTGGGATCATTTCCGAATTGATGAGCGTACCTGCACTTCAAGAGTGCAACTGTTGTTTGACATTCATTGCTTGTTGCCGTTGGTCAGGGCGGCCGCTATCGTCGTCGCCGTCTCGTCGGCGCCTCCCGCTAAGACTCGACTCTCGTTACGCTAAGTCGACCCCCCTTACTTACTTTCGATCGTCGTCCCTTTAGCTCTCGACTATTATTATTATTCTTCTCGACTTAATTACTTTCGCCTTATTATCTCTTCTTTCTCTTACGAATAGATTTTCTCTTCGATAATAACTCTAAATCTTTCTTAATTAAAATTAATACTCGACTCTTTTTAAGTTTACTTCTATATATCGATAAAACTTTATCGTTAAAGAATATTATTAATCGATAGAAGTAAGGTATTAAATAGATATATAAATTCGAAAAGTCGCGAGAAGATAAGTATAGAAAATTATCTCGCGACTTTTCGAACTTAAATATTTCTTTAGCGACGACCTATAAGTACTTATAAGCGATTTATAGCTTTAGAGATGGTCCATGATAGCAATGTCTTCATCAAACCAGTTGCCCAAGGCCGTCGTGGTCTTTGTGCCAGTGTGGGATTTTGAGCTTGTGGGCGTGTGAAATTGTGGCATCGCGGGATCCTGGACAGCAACATCCAGAACAGCAATGGTCATGTGTCAGGTGGAGAGTGTTTCGTGGAGCACAAATGTGCATGGCTGAAATGCAAGGGTAGGAATACCTCTTTTGCTTCACTGTATTCAGGTGGGATTTCACGGTATGAAGTGTGGGCAGGCTTGCTATGGGACCATAGCTCGACGTGGTGCAAGCTGTTAGGGTTTCGTGTGAACCAGAATAATCTCACAGTGTTTGCAGTGCGTCACAATATCATTGCTGAGTCAGCCTTCCAGTAGTGTTCACCCAAGATTGTCGGACCGGAGCACACACGACCTAGAATCGAATGAGGGAAGGCTGAGACCTGACACGGCCAAGAGCTCTCCAACAACGCATGTATGATTCCAGCCGAGAGCGTACACTGGACAGCCGACGCAGAAGTGTGATGGCGGCAAGAGTCGGGAAAACAAGGCAGATCAAAAGGTAGGATTGGGTGTCGGCATACGACAGCGATTGGTGAAGGCTGGAGACTATTGGACATGGGATCAAGATGTGGACGTGACGAGGAAGAGCTTTGGCCTGATGGCGGACGTCCTGGTCCTGACAGCGCTGGAAAGTACCGGTTTCCATAACTCTGGCCAGGGAAGTTCCGACGACGAAGACTGCGGGGGGATGCATCAGTCCCGACTGAGGCTCCGATGAAGGTGTGCAAAGCTCGCTGAGAGGCTTCGAAAGGTGCAGCTTGTGTATGATGTTGGTCGAAGTCTTGAGTGGACGAGTTTGACGATTTCATGCTTTGTAAGAATGAAGGACAACAACAGTACAGGTTCCCTGGAGAATTTTGCCGGAGCACAAAGCCGCTCTGCAAATCGCTACTGCAGAAAATTGCGTCGGTGTGGACGCAGAGTAATCAGCATCATCGAGATGAGACAAATCTCTGGAGCCGGCGTTCAGGAGGGCCAACATGAATGCCACTGGCGTTATTCGAACGCCTCCTCGGCTCTGGGCAAACGGATCCCCGTCATCCTGCAAGACTTGCATATTGGTCTTCTCGTGTGCTTACTCCGATCTCTTTCAACGCTGCCAGGGACGGCGTCGTCGTGCATTCAGTGTTCTGTTCCATCATTCTGCGGAGACTTGAGGGTATGGAGGTGTTGGCACGTTCGTTGCAACGGAAATGGAGCTGTTGCTCATGTTATTGGTACGGTAACTTGACGGGACGACAGGCTTCCGAAACTGTTGCGCCTTGTTGTTGCGAGCAAAGGCTCGAACAAGCCCGACAAAGACGCTCATTGGAACCTATGAAGGAATGCTGGTGCAGAGAGATCCGCAGCTGGTGGTTGAGAGAAATGTTGCGGCTGTTAAACATGACATCTTTGGCGAAGGTGCAGGCGGCTCTAAGCATCCTTGGCAATTTCGGATGCGGAGAAAAAGTGAGTGCGGAGCGTTGCCCACAATCGTATGGTGCTGGGAATGCAGTTCACCACAACAAATGCAGTCTCAAGCCACCTGATTTCCTGGTGCTACAAACGTTCAACAAAAATCACTGCCCGAGAAACTCCCTACCGGCAGGTCGGGTCCCATCACCGATACACTCTGCGTGGCCCAAACATGCAGACGTGCGAAGCTTGGAACGCTTCTTGAATCCGTCTTTGAAACTTCCCGCAGGTACACCTAAACGAACGGGCCAGATAGCATGCCGCCGAGTGTGCCAGATAACTCTCCAGCTCCGGCCGTGAGCGACACATCATCGTACAGGGAGAAAAATGAATCGAAAAAGGCTGGAGAGTTTGACAAGGATGTAATGTTCGGCATGCCGGTCAGAAATGGATCTTGCTCATGGCTTCTGCTGGTTGGAATTTGATGAGCGGGAGATGAACGTTCTTGTGCGATAGCATTAGTCGAAACATGGCTGGCAGCGCTTTGCTCTGATCCTCTAAGACCTGGCAACAAGGATTCTCCGTTTAACGGGGTGGATAGGCGCTGCTGAACAGTTGTCGCATCATTGTTGTTACTAGGATCTCCGTTGGTAGAGTCGCGCGAACCCTGACTATCCCTCTGACCGAGAGCATTATCCCGAGCAGACACGGCCGGGATCAGCGTCTGAGGTGAGTCTCCATTGCCAGGACCGGGTGTTGCTTGAAAGACACGAGAGATGCTCGCGTTCATGCCCGATTCACGCCAATGATGCGCTCCAGTCGCGGGGGTTCTTGCTTCATGGCTCGTTGGGAGTGCTACGGTCCGTTGTGGCGACAATGCCAGGTCTCTCCCACTCGACCTTGTCCTCCGGGAGCTTTCCCGAATCTTGTTCAGCTCGACTTCCAACGCAGAAAGGTTTCTCTCTAGCATGTTGGATATGCCCCAGTATCCTTCAAATTGCAGATATGTCATCCGAAGCAACTCAGCGTTCGATGCAGTCAACTCCCGGTCCGATGTGTCGGTCTGTAAGAGTTCGCGCTTCAAGATCTGAACTGCAGTCGCTAGCCATATTGTATTCGCCAGGAATGGGTTAACGAACTTGTAATGATTCGTTTGAGTTCGTTGGATGATGTTTACCACATTCTGGGAGGCCTGCAGGTACAACACAAAACATTGTCTCGCAGCATTGTTCGGCGCATTGCTCCCAAATTGTCGTTGTGGCGCAAGCCCACTCTCGGCATGGTCGTTGAATCTTGCCAATTCCGCTTCAAGATGTGGCCAGCTCATTTGACTCTGGAAGATGAAATACTTATAAATCATCAGCTTGGCATACTGTACCGCCATATGCATGCTGTAGATCTCTTGGTGCAGCAAGCGTGTCGTTGTGGCGGGTGATTCGGAATCTCGTGGGGAGAAGTTGAGGAACTGGTTTTGGTAACGGAGTTCGGCAGGCATCATTTCGACGATGCATTGGAGGACGTTGTGAAGGGCACTGATTTTGTTGTATCCCTCTCGCGCTTCTCGGGCACGGCGTGCTTGTTCCAGTTGCATCTGTGCCGGATTGCAGTCCTTCGGATGTTGTGACTTACCGGAAGCCTTGTCCATGTCGAGTTCAGCGCCTTGAGACACGTTCGACGCGTCCTTAACGATTGAATTGACCACCAGAAACCACGCCTTGTGCGATTTGTTGCCCGATCCTTTCAACTTCTTCCACCGGTCAACAATGCTGGGTGTAAGATAGCAGCTTTCCTGTGGCTGATTGCCAAACCAGTCTTTGTCCGGGGCGGGCAGGAATGTTTCGTTGTACGACCAATCAATCCCGGTGGGACAACGACGGACCACACTCGCGAAGACGTCCATCTCCCAAATCGCCCACCAGGCTCGCCGTCTCTCTTCGTCTTCGTGCCATTGTTCGACGTCCCCAATCTGGTCATGCGGCTGTTTACCTTTGTCGACGGCATGCAGATTCAGTTCGTAGGCACAACGAATGCAAACACCTAAATACCGCCACGACTTGCCGCGCACCGACCGGATGAGCAGCCAATGATTGATTAGAATCATGGATTGCAGGAGCAGAAGTGGCACCCCTTGTTCCGCGTACTCACGCATGGCTTGTTCAGCAAACTGCTCAGCCAAATTGCCAAAGTGCTGTGACAGGTTCTTGGTCGAATCGAGACTAAGACGCACGGCTGCTGATGCCAGACACGGGTCATGACTGGCTTCCTCGTCTTTGAAAGCAAAGACGAGAATCGCCGCTAGGAGAGCATTCAGCTCGTTTCTGCTTTGAGACTGTTGCAGCTTGTCCCAGAACGTGGGACGGTGGAACAGCTGGAAGGACGGGAAGGTGTCAAAGAACTCATCCACCCTGTCTTTGTCAGAACATCGACTCTGCTTGAGCGGGAGTTGGTACTTACAGAGTCTGCACATCTTCAAGCGACAAACCCAGCGCATAACAGGCCGACTCCAGATTGGATTGTTCACCCACACTGCACTCCACTGTCACCATGGACTCAACTAGAGGTTCCTCGGCCAGGCGATCCTCATGGGAAGGGTGCATGATGAACGAGAGTGATTGGACGTCACGCGAGCGTCGAGACAGCGCGCTTGAAATCGAGGTTGATGGTGATGAAGCTTGGTAGATGGCCGTCAATGGTGCTGGCGGCGGCGCTGGCGCTGGTGGCAGAGAGATCGTGCGCGCTGGTGGACGCTGATGCTGTTGCCCTTGAGGCTGAGATTGCGCCTGCGATTGCGGCTGTTGCTGTCGATTCTCTGGTGCTACTGCTGATGATGTGACATTTGCATATGGTTGCGGGCCCAGATTCTCCCGTCTAAGGTGCTCGGGCTGATGAGTCTGGGTGTCATGTTTCCTTCCTACAGATTGTTGTTCTGGTCGACTTTCGACAAAGGAATCGTGCTTGCGCTTTCGAGCCTGTTGAGTGCTCCCAACCTTCGGTCCTGGGCGGGTGGCACTTGGAGGGTATTCGCACGACTGATTTGTGTGCAGACAAATGCTACAGTGAGGAATTTCCCTCGTACACTTGACTTTGCGCTTGCGGCACGAGCGGCATGCAATGCCGGAGACAAATCCTGCTGTGACACTGTCTTGGCAGTATGGTTCCATGGTGAGATACCCGGAAGTAAGGTGGCCGGCTGGTGCTGTAAGAGAAAAAGTGAACGTTGATGAAAATCCGGGAGAAAATGAATTCCACAACAGGGCAGCACGGAAAGGTTGGGCAATTATTGGGGTCCCCAAATTTCCCCGGCCTGCCAACTTGTCCCAATTATGATGCCCAGAGTTCCGATAATCGATTGATTGTGATTGGGGGAATAGCTTCGCTGTTTCTTGTGGCACTTGTGGTGGCTGCTTTTCGGACCTTCTTCGGACCTTCTTCGGGCTGTCTTCGAAAGCCTAGTCGTCATCATGCGAGGAGTCCAACTTCAAAACTCAGGTCCGGTGATTTCTAGAAGCTTATGCCTTTCCAACTAAGTCTCATAACAAACCGTCAAAGATTCCAGTAAATAATGCTCAATCCTCCACACTTTGCCGGCTCGAGGTCAACGGCAGCACGGACTTCAAAGGACTTCGAATTTTTTTACTAATCCTGCAATATCCAGAGTCCTGAAACAGCGTATCGCTTCGGGCGTGAATGGATTGGCCACCTTCGATTCTTTGCCAGCCAGATAATGGGACGGTCAGATGGGACAGATACTTGCATCACTATATGAGACGCTGAATCTACGTCTCGTAGCTCCAATCGATGAGCTTCTGAACGGAACGAATTGACAAAGTAAAATCCATGGTGCGCGAACTCAGTGATGTTCAGAAATGTCAACTGGCCGGGAAGAGCCTGTTTGACTGTTCTGGAGCAGGACTTACAGGTCCTAGATCCAGTCCCAAAGGCGAAGTTATATCTCTCTAGTAGGTTCACTGTCTCCTCGGTGTACAGCCATCTTTCTGGAATCTAGCTGTCGGCATCTTCACCATACACGTCCTGATCCTGATCGACAGTCCATGCGTTGCATCCCACTTCTCTACCATCAGGAATGAAAACGTCACAGGTAGTGGCATGTTGTACTGGAACCACACGACGCCGGACCATTCCCAGTTGCGGATGTAGTCGCAAAGTCTTCTTGATACAGGCTTGGAAGCACGGCATCGACCGCGCCTCTGCCCACGAGATGTACTTGAGTGCAGCCAGGTCTGCAATACAATTTTGCAGGAATGTAAATCTAAGGGCGTTTCTTTCGCTCTTGCCCCGCAGATTCGTACACGCAACAGACTTCCTCACAGCCACAAGCGTGTCCGGGAGCCTCCACGCGGAGATCTTGGATTTGTCAGAGATGTGCAGAGTTTTGCACAATTTGAGCTTCCGACCGACGTTCATGCAACATTGCCATAACCAGCATGCTCTTTTCGACAGAAATGTGGTCAAAGATGCCACATGGTGATGATTGATATTGTCGGGTTTGAGCTTCGATAAGTGGTGCACCCTAGGCGAATTCCGTCAGCGCATGAAGAAGGGATAAACATGCAGTTCATTAGGTAATCCATGGTCCGGGTCAGGTAACACTATGCCAATGGACCCACAATGGTAGACTTCAGCATCAACCTAGGCGACACCTAGCACAACCAGAAGATTATCTGAATTTGTCATCGGTGACCTGTTCGTCGACTCATGTCATAAATCCGGCCCCGAGCTGTTTCTGAGGGTCAACAACTAAATTCATTGAATCCGTACAAGATTTCAGAGCTGTTCCTGGACCTTGGGTTTAAAATCATGAAAGCAGTGGTTGTCGAGAAAGGGAATGCGATTGTCGTGCATGAACGGCCCAAACCTAAGGTCCGAGACCATTTTGTCCTGATCAAGGTTACAGCAGTGGCCCTGAACCCAACAGACTGGAAGCATTTGGACTATCGTCTTGTGGCAGACGGCTGTCTGGTTGGATGCGACTTCGCCGGCACCGTTGTGGAAGTTGGCAAAGGCGTAAACAAAGCACTATCCACAGGAGATCGCGTGGCGGGCGTTGCTCATGGAGGAAACAGCATCCAGCCTGAAGACGGGGCATTTGCTGAGTACATCGTCGCCAAGGGTGATATATTGATTAAGCTGCCAGGCAGTCTGAGTTTTGAGGAAGCTGCGACTTTGCCTCTTGGTGTTGCAACAGTCATGCAAGGCTTATATCAGAAGGGTTTGAAGCTGAGGCTGCCCAACGAGCCGAACACAGAGAAGCCCTTTGTGTTGATCTATGGTGGAGCAACTGCGACTGGAGCACTGGGGATTCAGTATGCCAGACTGTATGTCCCATTCTCTACCCGTCATTTTGCCTGGTAAGTAACAAATAGGCAGGTCCGGATATTCCGTTGTTACCACATGCTCACCACAGAATTTTGAATACGTCAAGTTCCTCGGCGCAAGCGAGGCATTCGACTACAAAGATGCTAACGTTGGTGCGAGCATCCGCAAACTCACTAAAGATGGACTCAAACTCTCCTGGGACATTATCAGTAACGAAGATTCGGCCAAAGTTTGTGCTGCGGCACTCTCATCTGACCCCACAGGCTGTCGATACGCGTCTTTCCTCAGTAATCGAAGCCCAAGGGATGACGTCGAAAGTGTCGGTACCAACATGTATACTGTCTGGGGTGAGTATTTCAAGTCAGGATCCTTGGAGTATCCCGCCAACCAGGCGGATTTTGACTGGGCAAAAGGGTTTATGGAGCTTGCAGAGAAGCTTTTGGCAGCAGGCAGATTGAAAGCTCATAGAATAGCCATCAAGGATGGTGGTTTGAATGGAGTTTTGCAAGGCCTAAACGACATGAAGAGTAATAGAGTCAGTGCCGAGAAGCTGGTCTATCGAGTTGCAGAGATGGTGTGACGTTGAACAAGGAGAAAGGTTGAAAGTCCCACAATGCTCACAAGTGGGAGCAACGTCCCATTAACCTCTGAGCATATCAAGCGTGCGTTGCTGTCCGAGCATCACAAGAAACTACGAAGTCGTATGATGCTTTCAGATATCTGAACGCGCTTCCACCTTCACGATAGAATGCATAGTTAACATCATCGAGGTGGTACTACCGAGCAAAGAGACCTTGACCTCACCGCCATGCCCTATTGCTGTGTGATTGCGGTCCTGTCCCACCAAAACTTGCACTGCTCTAAAGCTTCGGTCTCATATGTCAACTCCGCTGGCGTACCGACTGGTCCCCCTATCAGATCCCTATTGCCCTTTCCCAAAATCATCTTGAAAGGCTGGTCAGGAGTATATGGCTGCCATGTTGGTCGACCCCTCCAGGCCCCTTGTACCTTGTTCGGATCACCATTGTTGCAAATGAAGCTTGTCATGTACGCGTGAAATGTGCCAGATACCTCTTTCTGTGCAGGGGACAATGATGTTGTAACATGGTCGAAGGTTTCATACCTTGCGGTGTCTCCATGAGCAGCGCCACCATAGAGGGTAGCAAAAACATCCCAGTGATACAAGTAAACTGGCGAGCTTCCACAAACCGACGATGCAAGGTGCGCTGTTTGTCGGACAGGTGCAATAAGCGCGAATTGACCATATGCTGTCTCCGTGCGCTTATATTGCGGGCCGAGATCTTTACCGACTCTCTCGTGTCGATAGTCGGGGTATCCCAGAGATGGATCAGGATACAACTCGTTCAACCGCTCAATATCATCCTTTGGTAGACCAGGGAGCAAAGTTTGCATAAAGTCGGTAAATTGACCGGACTTGGAAATCTGCCTGTCCACGTACAGAGATCCCTCGTTGGTGCAGTAGCCTGTCATAATGGGCACTTTGTAGTATTGACCCGATCTCCAGCTTTGGATGGGTGGCCGAGGGATCAGGTTTCCATCTATGACCGGACGGAAGGCCCACTGCATAGTTGGCTTGTACTTTGTGAAGACGGCTTCTTGGGCGTCAATGATGGTGGATAGAGGCAGGGCGCGAAGAGAGTTGAAAGTGTCCGTTGCCGAAAGGTTTTGTGGACATCCAGCCTGACCAAGAAATTCGTTGAAGTACTTTTCGATGATTTCTGAGTTGAATGACCTGCAGTCCCTTGTGGTAGGAGAAGCCGACTCCAGAATTACCCTGTGGAACGGGCCAGGGTTTTGGTCACTGTAGTGCAGCATAAAATGACCAATCTGTGACTGGCATTAGGAACAATTGTCCCATGTACGCGGTGAAAACTCACTGTGATAGCCCCTGCAGAAAGCCCAATCAAAGTCACGTTGTGCTTGTCGCCGCCGAAATGATGAATGTTTTCTTGTACCCAATCTAGAAGAAGTCGTTGATCCTGCATCCCCAGGTTGAGAGCGCCTTCCTCTGCGGCCTTGGACGATGCCAAAAATCCAAGCGCTCCAACTCTGTAGTTGAAGGAGACACCCACAAAAGGTTCCTCGGACCAAGCCACCATGGAAGCAGTGTTTTGCGAGGACGAATGTCCCCGGTTGAATGCTCCACCATGGACGTAGATCGCAACGGGCAAGAGTCGTGTGTCATCCGGCTTGCGAATGGGCCTGAAGACATTGACCGTCAAGCAATCCTCGCTATAAACAAGTGGGATGCGAGGAGGTATGAGAGGTTTGCCTGGAGATGCCTTTCCATACGCAACGGCATGAATTATTGTGTCTGAAGGTTTGACCTTGACTGGTGGTCGAAACCGAAGATCTCTACTGGAGGCTCAGCGTATGGGAAACCCAGAAAGCACTCTACCGGCTGTGGGAAATGATCTGTCTGCACAATTCCTCGAATCCTCCCCTGAGGCAGAGTCACGCATGGCCGGGGCAAGCTTTCCTGTGTCGAGGACATTGTGCTCTGATGCGGCTCTTCTGGGCCCAAGGTCTATATTGCCAGTCCCGAAGATTGCACTGTCGTGAACAGCAAGGCTTGATTGATGATGAGAAACAAAAGTCTTTGGGCTTTTGTGGATGGTCAAGTGCGGCTTCGTGAGCATCCAGCTAAATCATTCAACAAGATGGTCTCGGGTCAACGGGAACCCTCGTCCATACTTGAGAATCAAGAGCGGATTTAGCCTTTAAGAATAATTACGCCCTAGGTGACTTGCCGTCAATGCAAACGTCTCGTGAACCCCAAGTGCACACCGAATTTCACCCGTGCAAATAATTTTCTAGAGATTATATTCTCACTTCTTGGACGCGAAAGGGCAAAGTGCTACGTAAGCGCTGAGGCGAGCCATCATGATCGCTTAGACGCGGGTTGGAACGGTGTCAGTTGAGGATAGGTAAGTATCCACTACAGCCTCTATCGGAGGTGTCAAAGGTTCCCCGAAATGAATATGTTCAATGTCTAGAGGTTTGAGAGAAAAAGATACAGTATAAGTATGAGTCCCAAGTGGCTAAGGGTCGACATGAACGCTTTCCAGAGAGGACATCATCCGCTGTAGCAGATATGGGGTCCATAACAATGCATCAAGAAGACGACTTCGTTCATCAAACACGCCGAATTCCTATTGGCGCCTATATATTCCACCGCCTTCACCAAATTGGTGTCTCTCATGTCTTTGGATGTCCCGGAGACTTCAATCTGAACCTACTTGACCACCTCTACACAGTTCCTTCCATGAAATGGATTGGTACTTGCAACGAACTCAACGGAGCATATGCAGCAGACGGCTACGCTCGTGTCCGCGGGATCCCGGGAGTCCTTATCACCACCTACGGTGTCGGAGAACTGAGTGCAATCAATGGGATCGCCGGTGCCTATAGCGAACACGTCCCGATCATTCACATCGTCGGGACTACGTCAAGATTGGCTCGTCGGGACCGTATCATGATTCGTCACACCTTGGACGAGAACTGGGATCACGATACATTCCAAAAAATGTCTGAGCCGGTGAGAACTGGTCACGCCTTTCTACTCGAAGATTCGAACTTCACAAAGGACATCGATAATGTCATTCAAACATGTGTTCAGACGAGACGCCCAGTCTACCTCTATGTGCCAATCGACGTCCCAGATATCCTGGTCAATTCAGAGCCTCTGCAGAAGCCTTTGCATTTTGACATCACCAATCATGACAGAGATCACGAGGAAGACGAATTCATCGATGAAGCTGTGAAAATGCTGGCGGCGGCAGAGCACCCCGTGGCTTTGGTCGACATGCTGACTCACAGATATGGCCTGGTCAATGAGACCAAACAATTTTTGAGTCTTACTGGTCTACAAGTAAGTCAAGTTCCCATGTTATTCTTTGTTATAATATCATATGCTGAGACGTTGAACAGGCATTCGTTACGCCATTGGCAAAATCGGTGGTCGACGAAACCAGTGAGCATTATGGCGGGCTTTATAATGGCAAACTCAGTCCAAGCATTGGTGTGCAAAAACGTGTCGAGTCATCAGATGCTGTCTTTCACATTGGACCATTCCCATCAGACTCTAACACCGGAGGCTGGAGTCAGAAATTGCAAACCGCGAACCTGATCTGTCTTTCCTGGAACAAGGTCTCCGTTCGCGATCGTGTGTGGCACGGGCTCAACTTTGTACCCATAGTGAAGAAACTTGTCCGGCGCCTTGAGTTGCAGAAGTTTTCATTGAAGAACACGCTGGCTTTAGAAGACTGCCTTGTAAGAGACCTTCAACCATATCAGATGGCTGGACTAACATGCTCACAGAGTACTTCGGCCCCTTTGACAGCACCTACTGAGGCATCAGATCAGCTCGATCAACTGCACGTATGGAGAAAGTTCTCGCCCTTTCTACGCGAAGGAGACTGCATCATCGCCGAGGTGGGCTCCGCACAGTATGGCACACTTGAGCTGGAGCTCCCCGCCAATGTCACGTTCTTTACACAGCTTTATTATAGCTGTATCGGCTTCACAGTTGGTGCTCTTCTTGGAGCCTTAGTAGCTCAACGTGAGCAAGGTAACAACGGCAGAGCATGGTTATTTGTGGGAGACGGAAGTCTACAAATGACTGTCCAGGTATGTACATGCCCTTTCCACCCTTTGGCTGGCACCAGTTCCTGTCTTGTTCTCATTTCCCAGATACTTGACAAGTCCCTCAAGTTAACGCAGTCGGTCTAGGAACTTAGTACGATCATCAGGTACGACTTCAAACCGACCATTGTCCTCATCAACAACAGTGGCTACACCATCGAGCGAGTCATTCACGGCCCATTGAAGCACTATAACGAGATTTCGACGAGCTGGGACTATCAAAATATGCTTCGTTTCTTTGGAGCCGGACCTGCTACATCAGCTACATACTCTGCACGGACATACAGAGAGCTGGCAGCCGTGCTCGAGGACAAAACCTTTCAGACAAACTCTACAATTCAGCTACTCGAATTGGTTCTGGACAAATTTGACACCCCATGGATGTTGAGTGGGCAAATCAATATTGTGCATGGTAAGTTCGGTAAACAATTGGAAGCTTGGGACCGAAACTGTGGCAGGCAGAGGAAAGTACTGGATGGAAACCTATGGAGGAGCGAGTATAAGTTGTGCGCAAATCCATCCAATGTCTATCTAGAATCACGGGAAGCGACTGGCACACAATAGTATGCTAGTGCTCATCCTGCACATTTCTCCGTAGAGGAACATTTGTGACGCTGTCTTCGCTTTGAACAATAGCCAGCTTTGCATTGGATTATGTCGTTAATCACGCTGAGCGACTTCGCAGTATACGGACGTCGTCAAACCAACCGTTGAGACACAAAACAAATCATGACATCGAAGTTAGCGGGAGATAGATCGTTGGCGCTGCCTGCGGATCGACAAAGCTCTTTTCTTGAAACTGACGCACAGCCAGTCAAGGTGGTACTCGTTAAGAAGACCGAAACGAGGACTATGGCAACAAGAACCCTCGCCGGACAATCCTGTCTGCGATAGGCCTGGAGGGTTGGTGTCTTTTCGTGAGATTATGGTTGCCACTCTGCCGAAAAACCCAGAGCCGGGGAAACGCAATCTCCGGGCATTGAGAGCAGGACTGCCGTACGATTAAGCCTTCTCGCATCTTGTTATCATGAGACCTTGCTAACAGGTCCTCTTTTCATACCTATGGCCAAATTCCAAGATTGTTTATCAGGAGACCGATATCGTGCTTTTTGGGGCAGCCTTCAGTGACCGAGGCTTTACCCGAGGATATTGAATGTAAGGCGGAGGTGGGGATGGGATATGCGGATCTAAGCTAGTGCGTCTATGGTTGGGAACGGTAAAACGCGTGATTCTCCTATCTTTATCTTGGTGGCAAGACTCTATGAGATATCTTGATCCCAGAATCCAAATTCAGGATCGTAAAAGTATACCTCACGTTGTCAGCCAGAGGGCAACAGTAAATCTCACAAAGCAAATCAGGATCAATACAGCAATGGAGTCGACGAAGCCACCAGTCGGCAAAACGGAGCCTGGAGAGCACATGACAAGACTTCAGAGCCTCGAAATTGGTGAACCTCTTCACGAGCATGCTGACGATGCACTGCACTTTATTGAGCAGCACCAAGGCTTCACGTACACGCCAGCACAGGACAAAGCGGTACTCAAGAAAATCGATCGTCATTTGATGCCTTTGGTAAGTGTTCACTCCATGGAAACGAAGAATTCATTGTTAACGGTATGCAAGTTATTCTTTTCATATCTATTTCAATACATGGATAAGAGCATCATGGCTCAAAGCGTGGTCTATGGTCTTCGACAGAATTTGAGTCTTGTAGGCCAGCAATATTCGTGGTGTAGGTAAGTATCTCACATTTCTCGCTGGCATGGCCGTCATGAGTACAGATTTTATTGACATGCTCCAGCTCGATATTCTTCTTCGGATACTTGGCAGTCCAGCCGTTGACCGGCTTCTTGATGAATCGCATTCCGCTAGGACGATTTGTCGCAATAACATCTCTTGGATGGGCTATCGTTGTACTCTGCACCGCAGGTGCTTACAACTTCTCCGGTCTTATGGCTGCTCGCTTCTTCCTCGGCATGGCCGAAGGATGTATATCTCCAGCTTACGTTCTCATCACAGGAATGTGGTACAAAAAGGACGAAATTCCTCGGCGTACAACGATCTGGTTCGCCGCCAATGGTCTCGCTGTCATTCTCCAAGCACTCATCTCGTACGGCATCGGTCATATCGTCGGGACTGGAGTAGCGACATGGAAATGGTTCTTTATCATTTTTGGTCTCGCGAGTCTGGTCTTGTCCGCCGTTTTGTTTTACTTTATGCCGAACAGCCCACTCGATGCAAAGTTTCTCAATGAGGAAGAGAAGATGGTTGCGGTTGAGCGACTGAGAGACAACCGAACCGGCGTTGGAAACCGAGAATTCAAAAGGCATCAACTCATTGAGGCTTTGAAAGAGCCACTGGTCTACTACAACTTCTTTTTTGCCATCTTGGTCGTTGTACCGAACAGCGGAGTATCATTCGTAAGTTTCCATCTTTAGACTCGTTCACGCTTACTGTCAAGCGCTGACTTGATTCACAGTTCGGCGCCCTTATCATTGAGGGTTTCGGGTATGACGCGTTCGTCAGTTCCCTCCTTCTGATGCCTTATGGAGCAGTTATGTGTATCGGCCTGCCACTCGCTGGCTATATAACTTCGAAATATCCCAACACCCGGTGTATCAATCAATTCGCCACTGCCTTTCCCGCCATCATTGGCTCTGCACTGGTATTCTATCTGCGGGCAGACAACCAGGCAGGCCGTCTGGCTGGGTTTTACTTAACGGCCTTCTCCAACGCCACATTACCACTTCAGTTTGCATCCATGAATTCGAATACGGCAGGTCATACGAAGCGTTCAATTACTAACGCCATCATGTTTCTGGGATATGCAACCGGCTTCATCATCGGTCCACAGTTCTTCTTGACTTCGGAGGCTCCTGTCTACCAGACTGGCTTCAGAACTATGTTAATCACCTTCACATTGCTAACCGCTGCGCCAGTTGGCATGTATGCTTATCTGACTTGGCAGAACTCAAAGAGGGATGCAGCAGTCATGCATAGTGGAGGCGAAAACGTCTACACTGAGAATGAGGAATTCTTAGACTTGACGGATAGGGAACAAATCCACTTCCGTTATGCGAAGTGAGGACGGACTGTGGCTGGAGCAACGGTCGTGACATGCGTATGGTAAATGACGGCTTGGGTGCGAAGGTAGATTGAGCCACATGCATGGATTTTGTTGGATGCAGGGGGGTGATTCAAGTGTAGGGCATTACACGTACTGACTATTCTAGATATGGGTGCGGGCATCGCAGATGAATGCAGCAAAATGCGGCATATTCAGGTGAATTCGGACTATAATGTAAATGTCAGGGCATATTTATGCATCACACCTTCTGCGAAAAGCGCATACTTTGGATACCTAGAGACGCGGCATAGCACAGACTTTGAGGCGTCGCAACCCACGCACTCGACATGCGCGGTTATGGGCATCATATCACCGGGGCTTTGAATTGGGCGTCGTGCATGTTTGGAAAACGCAGCAAAGGGCAAGACAGTAAATAGTGGAGGTATCAACAGGATTGAGGTGCTGTCCGCTGTGATTGACGCTACTTGACCTCAGTGTGGTCGGCTAGCACCTCGCGAAAACTTCCTCTACCGGCTTAAGTTTGATTCATCTCATTGGCTGCTGAGCAAGGAGTATGGTGAGACCAGGACTATCTCCCCATGGCGAGTCGCTCGAATGATGGACTGGCCAAGCAGCTAAATCATGATTTATCTTTATATGTGACTTTGGTGCACCTAGATTATGATTCATTGAGTCTCCATTCCATATGTTCATCACCATCCTGTGTCTCACGCCCTCCAAGAGGATTCGCTTCGCTTCCTGCAGGGGTGGTGCTGTTTGCCCGCAGTCTGGCAGGTCGAATGTATGCAAAGTTCAGAGATTGCAGTCAGTTACAATTCCCCTGATCATTTATGGAAGGGTCTCCACTGAATGACGGCACTATGTTGAAACCTGCCTGCAAGAAGAGGCCACCACATCCGTTGGTTGTGTGAGATCATGGCAAACAATGAGTTCGAATACTTTGATCGGCGTCAATCTGGACGTGAGATCCAAACTCAGCACGAGGACCTCAGGTACCATCTCTGTGGCATGTACGTGCGCTTTTTGTCCAATGCTTTCAGGCCTACACCTTTAGGGAGCGGCTAGGGAAATCTAGTGGTCCCGTTTGCCTCAAGATGCCGAGCGGCCCGCCCATGCGCCCTGCTATCGTTGGTCGGCGACTTAGACCTGCATATACTACTCAAAACACTGGAAGAAGAACAGAACTCGCGAAAGTCTCCGCTACCAGAGCAAGCCACGGCTGACTTGGCCGCCTGATGTTCAGGACACTTTTACGGGCGAAAGACTGTGCAAAGTCTCCGATTGTAGAGACAGTTGGAACAGGCGCACGATGTCAACGTCTTGTGCCTGGGCGGCCATGGATTCTGATATATACCTCGCGTGTCAGCACAACTGGGTGCCGAACTTGATATTCAGCCAGTACATACTGTTTGAAAGAAAATATTGCGTGCGGTTACAATCATACAGGCTGCGACAATACACGCCTTTGCATTGACTTTCGTTAATACTCATTATGGCCTCAACAATCTACGATGCCCTCATAGTTGGGGCAGGTCCTGCGGGCCTTTCTGCAGCCCTCGGTCTATCTCGAGTTCACCGATCCAAGGTTGTCTTCACCAAGCCACTCGACGCTGGCTTCCGAAACGAAGGTGCGGAAGAAATGCATAACGTATTGTCCAGGGACTGTACTCCACCGGCAGACTTCCGTCAAATTTCAAAAGATCAGAACATGAAGTATAGTACAACCGAGTTCGTTGCAGCCGAGATCACCTTCCTCAAGAAAATCGAGCCCAATGATAAAGATCAGATTGCCCTTCCGAGCCACTTCGAGGCCCTCGATCGCGATGGTCGCAAGTGGCATGGAAGGAAGATTGTTTTGGCAACCGGATCAGTTGAGGTTTTGCCAACCAATATCCCTGGATACAAAGAGAATTGGCCCCAGAACATGTGAGTTCTCGACATTTTCGGTTCCAGAACACGTTATTGACTACCAGTTCCAGCTTTCAATGCTTGTTTTGCGACGGCCACGAGCGATCGCATCTGCCGTTCGGTATGATTGGCTTTTCGCCCATGCATGCACACGCCGCACAGATGGCCAACCTCTTGGTCACGAAAACGTCTGGTCCTCCTACCATATTCAGTAATGGACCAATCCCAGAGACTGAGTCGATGCTGAAGGCATTAGAATCAGTGAAAGCCCTGGGTTGTAAGGTGGAAACTGGCAAGATCGATCGACTTGTGCCGGCTGAGTCGCCAGAGGTTGGAGTTACAGTCCACCTTGAAGATGGAAAATCCATGCACTTGGGATTCCTGACTGATAAGCCGCCTACCGTGTTGGCCAGTCGAGACCTCATAGACCAGCTAGGACTGGAAGTTGAATCACACTCACTAATGGGGGAACATATCAAAGATCTTGAGCTGGGTGGTACAACAAAGGTGTCAGGAGTGTTCGTTGTTGGCGACGCTGGCACTCCCATGAAGGCGGTTGCCAATGCGATAAGCTCCGGTAAGTTGCGTTGGCCTAAAAGGTCACCGTTCTTTGACTCCTCATACTGACTCTGCTTCTCTTCTGGTTAGGAGCAAATGCCGCAGCTAACCTAACCCAACAATTGGTCATGGAGGATTTGCAGAAACTACTCACATCTCGACCGAATTAGGTGATGCATCAAAATGAGTGGGAGCAGGACCTGGCCACGAAGCCTCACCACCGTGGCCCTTTTGCTGAGAGCCTCGCTGATTGGTAGGCGTGGAAGGTCTCACCGAAGTCGCTCGCCATTGCGGCTGACATTGTTGTTATTGTCTTGTGGAGGGCGGGTCTGGCGGATGCGCATGTTGATGTTCGGGCCGCGGATTGAGGTTCCTTTCCATAGTCATTCGTACTGCAAACTATCAATCCAAGGGTTCACACAGGTTGAATTAACAGCCTGCCATCGAGAGATCCGTGGTTATTGCCTGCCTCCGCCGTTGATATTGGCGTTGATTACCAGTGGTCATTATCCAATATTTCTGTGAAGCTAAAAGGTCGCCATGACGGTGCTCGAGTATGGCAGATTCTCCATTGACTCTCTGTTGACAGGCTTTGTGAGTATTGGAATGTTGTGAAGGCAGTAATAAGTCCGCGGCTCAATTGTCGAAATCATCAGCCGATGTTTGGCCGAGCTTGATTGTATGCTGAGATCACGTGTGGCCTATCTTGTAGGCAGGCTGTGGCAGCGTCTTGGCGGCTGTCGTCATTGTTTGACCGCAGCTTCAAAGTGTCTGAGGTCGCCTCGTGACACCTTTTACCTTTCTCAGATCTTGTCGTAGTCCTCAAGGTGCATGATTCTACCCGCCTATGCTTCTGCTCTTCTCTCTGCCTATATTTCGCCATATTTCCTCTTCGTACTCGCTCATCTAGAGAGTATGACCGTCTGCTTTGTCACGACTCACCCAAGACGCGTCACCTTGTAGTGGGCAGGTTTGCCGAGCACCCTCGATCTCGCTCGCGAAGCGGCTGCGACTTTCATTAACAGTTCCTCCTGCAATTTCATCAACCAGAAACTCCAAGCCCAATGATTTCGGAAGATGTTACTCTGCACGCTGATAGTGCCAACATCAGTGCCACAGACGGCAGAGCGCGAAATCTCCAGAGACAACTTTAAGGAGCGCATTGCGAAGGTTGCAGCTTGTCGAGCCACGTTTTCCCACCTGGTGCAAGTTGGTCATACGCCTTCTGTGCTCCGATTGCGCCATCAATATTGAGGATACTGACAAATTGATGGTTATTGCCCACAATTGCGCCAAGCATGACGTGGAAAAATCGATGGTGTCCGGTGACGCAGTCGGGAGACATCTGATCTGGTCGCTGGTCCTAGCATCAGAGGAACAGGTAAAGTGCGAATGGCCATGAATTGTAAAATCTACGCTCCGTATAGGGATATGGCAGCCCATCTTGCTTGCTTGCCCAATTATTGGTCTCTTAGCGTCAGTGCGGCTGCAAATGACAAAATCCGCCCTGGTCCATGCTCAGCTATGAGACTATCCTATTACAGACCATAGTCCACGATCTTCAAAGCGACAAAGGCAATCATCTTCAGCGCATGCGGCCGCAGACCGACAACGCGATCTGCAGATGCGAGAACAGTTCCCAAACTCCTCCAGGTCTGCGATGACTTACACTCTCAATTTTTTTGCATGGTCATACCCTGCTTCAGGGTGGAAAGGAATCGAGGTGACATTTCGGCATGAATGGCTCGAGCGTCCGGAGTTAAAAACCGATAATAGGTCAATTTGGAAGAACTACCACCAAAAAAGGGTCCGTGCAGTTGTAACTGCTACTCTGAGCATTGCTCAGGCCCACCTCTTATCCTATCAAAGATGACAATAACGGCCCGTCCCGACACCATTCTGACACCAGTTCAGGATCTCTGCTACACTTTCTCAAAGCAGAACTTTTCCCCTGGTCTATTCCTCGATTGTCGACTCATAGAACTCGGCATGCGGATCGTGGTTCCTCTTTCAAGAGATCAGATCCCACGTGTGAGATCTCTCGGGGCCTACCGACTGGTCAGCCATCTATTTGGGAACGGCTGAAGTGCTTCTAGACCTCATGGCACAAACCACATCAGGTAAGGCGTCGCAAGATGCCTCTGAAATCATCATATCCTCCCCACTCATCGATCCTTTATTGGCTATTGAACCATGAGCAGAGGCGCCCGATTCCGAGACTCTGTCAAAGCGTGGTCTGGACCAGGCGTTGCTTTGAATGAACTCTACCATGGATGATACCTTGCAAACAAGTCATCCAGCTATATTAAGGTGGGTTGTTGCTCTGACGACGTTTATCCTCATCATCTTTACTTTCTGGTGCAAGCAGACCACGTTCACTTATACTTTCTTTCCACGTCTGCCATCATGCATTTCAGCAAAAGTTTCCTGGCCGCTGCCCTGTTGCAGCTTGCCAATGCGGCACCAGCACCGTCCTCAACTGCCAGCGCCCTGAGCTGTACCAACTCTGCCAGCAATGGCGTCACTTACAATGGATTTACTGTCCAGTGTGGTGTTGACTACATCGGGGGCGATATGAGTATGACCTGGACATCGACATTCGAGAGTTGTATCGACACCTGTGCTTCCACCAGTGGTTGCATTGATGTATCCTACCTCAACGGTGCATGTTACTTGAAAGATGCCACTGGCAGCTACAACACCAATTCGGTCTGGGGAGCGGTGAAGCCAAGCTCAACCTCAGCCGCTCTTTCATGCCCTAGCTCAAACGGGGCGTCGTACGATGGTTTCACGATCGCTTGTGGCACCGATTACTACGGTGGGGACCTGAGTAGCCTGTGGTCTGGGACTCTCGAAGTCTGTCTCAGTACTTGTGCGTCCACGAGTGGATGTGTAGGTGCTTCTTTCGCCAACCCCTACTGCTATATGAAGAGCAGTATCGGGACGGCACAAAGTAACTCCGGCGTTATTGGCGCAGCCAATCCTTCCGCTTTGACCAGCACTACCACCACCACCACTACAACGACAACGACAACGACATCGTCGACAACCTCGACTACCACTGCGGCTTCCACTGGCCTCTGCAGTAGTGGCACCGGTACTGCGACATACACTACCGGTGGCGAGAAATTCAGTGTTGTTTGTGGTTGGGACTACTATGGTTACGATCTCTCTAACCTGCAGACGACGACCTTGGAGTTGTGCATCTCATCTTGTGCATCCAACAGCCAATGTGCGGCCGTATCTTGGACTAATGGTTGGTGTTACATGAAGAACGCGGTTTCGGTTGGTGGGTCAAATTCGGCTGTCATGGCTGCTGCTCTTAGCTCGGCGGTGTCGACCACGACCTCTACGACGACCTCTACCACTACTACTACCACGACGCCGTCGACCACCACCACCACCACTACCACTACGCCGTCGACCACAACCACTAGCAAGACGACTACGACCACAACCACTACATCGTCGACGACAACATCTACGACGACTACGTCGAGCAGTACTACCACCGTTCCAACAACCACAACTACGAGTACCACAACTACCGTGCCAACAACCACGACCACAACCACCACTACTACCGTGCCAACAACCACGACCATAAGCGCTACAAGCACCACCACCACCACCACGGTACCAACCACGACCACTACTACCACTACTACTACTACTACTACTACTACTACCGTGCCAACAACTACCACCACTAGCACTACAAGCACTACAAGCACTACCACCACCACGGTGCCAACAACTACCACCACTAGCACTACAAGCACTACAAGCACTACCACCACCACGGTGCCAACCACGACCACCACCAGTACCACCAGTACTACCACAAGCACTACAAGTACTACCACCACCACGGTACCAACCACCAGTACCACCACAACTGTACCGACAACCACGACCACTACCACCAGCACTACCAGTACTACCACCACTACCACTACCGTGCCAACAACCACAACTACTAGCACGACTAGCACGACCGTGCCGACAACAACGACCACCACTACCACCACAAGCACCACAAGCACTTCTACCACCACCACTACCGTGCCAACAACTACTACTACCACAACTACCGTGCCAACAACCACTATCACTAGTACTACTACCACTAGCACCACCACCACTGTACCAACAACCACTACCACCAGTACTACGACTACAACCACTTCTACAACCACCACGACTACCGTACCCACAACGACGACCACAACCACTACAAGCACCACTACTACTGTTCCAACAACAACTACTAGCACCACCACCACTACGACAAGTACAACAACCTCGAAAACTTCGAGCACCACCACCACGACTACTGTTCCTACCACGACGACTACTACCAAAGCTACTACTACGACCACAACTACGACAACGACAACATCTGCAGCCGCCACTGCACTCTGCACCAGCTCGAGCAGTGGTACCAGCATACAATATTACACTGATTCTGCCGGGGACAAGTATGAGACTGGCTGCGGTTATTACGTCACCGGAAATGCTCTCAGCACCACCACCACCTCTACATTCGAGCTTTGTCTGTCGGCTTGTTCAAAAAACAACAACTGCAACGGTGTCAACTATGCCACTAGTAGCAACACCTGTTATCTATTGAGTTCTTACAACTCATATATGGCCAAGGGGGGTTACGATGCAGGATATATCTCAAACTGATCGAGCAACTGATTAGGTCATCTTGGGATATATGATAGAGACACTTTTGAAAGACAGCACGCCAGTGAGCGCATTGTATGGATGCGGGATTAGCTTTTTAACAAAAGCTCTTCACATCAGCTTGATAGATAGCGGTAATTGAATTCAAAAGCTTTTTCACATGTTAAAACCTGAAGACTTCTCTTTGCTGCCTAGCCAATCTCGCCCTTGTTGAAAACCACCGACACAGCATCCTGATCTGGGCCATAGAATCCCCCTATCCTGTCAGTCGAACAGGAGGTCGTGCTGAATAGAACCTGGAGTTGTGCGCCATCTGTTTGACCGGGCCGACCCCGTGAAAGGCTGACCACGAATGTGTCGTCGAACCGTGCTTGTGGTGCAACACCCAACCAAATCAAACAAATTAAACAAATTAAACTTACTGCCTTCCCTCCCGTGAGCAATACTTTCCTGACGTATTGCTCTTTCTACGACGTGAAAAGGTTCGAATAACAAGCACTCAAGCTCGAGAAACACACATTAGGCATACTGCAAACAAAGCTAAATTCCATGTTGACACTCGGACACGATTCACAGCTATCTATTGCAAGGGGACCTCCTCAACTGGGCGGGAAACGAGCCCTAAGCATTTACCCCTATCAGCCGAACTGGTCAAGCATGGCGTTCTGGTATCGTCTTGGACACGGCGGGATCTGATGTCCATGTCCAATGCCCGTGCTGGTTCGTTTTCTTGGTCCATCGGCTCTCGACAAGACGGCAGCGAGCATCACAATTAATTCGTCTTCATTGTCACAACGTGGTAGAAAGCTTTCTAACTCTTACAGCTGCCTTGGCTCCACATCTTGACTGACTTGACGGTCATCCCTCTCTTGTCACCTTCGCCCCAAGTCGGCAGCCAAGTATCTTTCGCATCCCAGAATTCGCGCGGTGCAGTGAGACTCCCGTCACCCCAGGGCTTGTTCGCGACCCCATCTTTGAAGAAACTGTTGGTTGCTCCGACCGCAACATTGAGAATGAGATAGAAAGGCTGATCAAAAGGAGTATTATCTCGGCCTGTCTGGGCCCAGGGATTGTTCAATGCTGACTTGTTGTACAAAGTAGACCCGAACTCGCCATGGTCCCACATACTTTGGTACTTATCAAACTTTGTGAACATGACTTGCTAGAAGAACTGTTAGAAGGTCTTGTTTGATGACGGAGCTTGTGAAGGAAACTCACCACTAGCCGAGTGTCCACATACATGAACAGATACTTCTCTGACCATTCCAAGCCAAACGTGTGGAATGCTTCTGAGTAATCTGTTCGTCGCAGATTGTACTTTCCGGATGTTCTCCAGAATGCGTCGGCTTCCGAGATGGGACCCCAATGCAAAGTGCTCCCTACGCTGTCACGACCATCAGGGTAGCTGGCGCCAGCATTCCCTTTGAACTCGGCTATATCAATCTCGCCGCTAGCAGGCCATGCACCATAAGCACCCACACCGTGTTCGCCCTGCGGTTCAGGCATCATCCAGATAGCGGGCCACAGCCAATCGCCTTGTGGCGCCTTGGCAACGACTTCCACACGGCCATACGTAATGTTCTTTCGTTTTGAGGTGTTCAAGCGGGCGCTTCGTACGGGATTGATCATTGTTCCGGAAGTGTCATTGCTGCGAATCGAACAATCGTTTGGGTCGCCGGACACGGCTGTGCAGGTGCCCGCCGTGGTGAGATTCAACACATAGTTATCATTGAGTTGTGCAGCGGTGATTGACGTTGACTCGGTGGTGAGGGTGGGGACGATGTGCAGACCCTCAGCGTCAACATAGGCGTTCTTGGGATCCGTTGTGGTCCATTCGAAAGAACCGGAACCAAAGCCTCCTCGCTGGACCTCGAAGCTCCAAATGTCTTCGTCCAAAGCCTTGAAATCGTCTTCCAGCACCAGACAGTACTGGAAATTGGACACGGAGCGGTAACTTATGAAACAGATCACTGCTCCGATAAGCACGCCGATCACAATTGATCCCCAGAATATGATCCTTTCCCACTTCTGACGGGGATCCTTTTGCTCCAGCCAAGGTTTTGGGTAGTCTGATCCTTGAAATCGGGACGATCTGAACTTTCGTTTGACTCCAGGAGGTCTTTCTACACCAGAACTAGATATCGAAGAGGCAGCATCCTGGGGAGTTTGAGATCCGCTGCTAGACCCCGCAAAGGGGTTTGAGTGACTCGACAGAGATGGAGAATAAGATATGATGGCACTCATGATTTCACAAGAGATGCGAGGAGCGGCCGGTTTGAGAAGAAGCAATAAGGTGCTGGAAAAGCGACATGAACATTTGAAGCTTTATCAATGAAATTTGTGGTTTCTGGATTAAGAAGGCTGCGTACTTCCTCCTATCAGTAGTACAGCAGCTTCGATCATAAAAAACGTGGCACCGTCGAGTGCACAGACGTGCCGCAAAGACTTGCTGCTTGCGCTCCAAGTTCCGGGGCTCGATCTTCTAGAAGAACTGTTTTTCAGCGCCCTGGGTCCGTGCACCAGATGAAGTTTATCAGACTCACATCGCGTCCCGAGAAGACGGTAAGTGGTGGAGACCCAGGCTGCGCTTAGCCTCTTTTGGATAAAGCTCGTGTGCGCCTTATTCCAGTCTTTATTAGACATGTTTAGCCGCACCACATCCAGATGAGGTCCTTGGTGGCTGACTGTTAAGTACACATTCATGTGCGTCTCACCGGGCTTCACGCCACTATTGGGACAAGTGCGGCCAAGATTTGCCTTCCATACTTCGAAAGCTTGTTGAGTGGAGGAAAGCAGTACACCATTTGCCTTCCGACTAGGCTCCAAAGCCACGAGATGTAACGCAATGCTGGCTCCAACGAGGTATCACACACAACGAAGAAGTTCTAGAAGCCTTCCCAATCCGAAGTGGCTTCACTGTCATTGGTGAGAACACATGAAGTGGTAATGGCTTGGGACTGGCTCTTGAAAGCGCTTGCGGAAGCGAGGAAAATCATGCAAGTTAGATAGTGGATGCTCAAGGACCACTGAAATCTTTCATATACAAAGTCCGCAGATCTTGCCCCATTCCCTGGCCAACTACATTCTCCCAATTCCCTCTTGTATGTCTGCCCGCCTCAGCAAAAACATCGATAATCCCCACGTCCAAACGATGGGATCATATTTCCAAAATACATCTGATGCCTTTGGTCACCCCTCTCCATCAGGAGATGCTAGATGTCGACCAACGTCGCCCTCGATTTCTTCCGGGCCCTCCCAGGCGTCTGTCGGTAAAATGGAACTTGTAGGTCCAACAGTGTCTTTCGATGAAGCCCACTGACCAGAAACAGCTTGCAGAATACCTTTTCCGAAAGTGTATCCAGCAAAAGTGGTTCGAACAAGACGACGAACTCTCATACCACGAGCTCCAAGCAGACTACCTTGGTATCATTCTTCGTTCAGGAGGAGACTCATACCACAGCGAACCTGCTGGCCTCCTTGTAAACAGTGCGCTTTTAGACGTTGTCAGACATTTGCAAGTGCCAGCTGCAATGACCATGAGATCTAAAACGGTCGTGGTGCTCCTGAATGAAACTCTTAGCAGCCATTCGACTACCACAATCGATCTCTCTGGGATCACTCTTCACATTCTCGAGAGCGTCACTGATATCGATAAGACGATCATGAACTTCCGGCCCTATAAGACCATATATCTCTGCAGAAGGGAAGGTTTTCTTCTCATCTCTGCTGAGCATGGTCAAGCCTTGCTGAAGCGGGGGAGCTATGTCGAAGATCTGATGATCGGTTACCTCTTTGGTGGACTAGGACGAGGTCTGGAATCTGATACCGACGTTGCGCCCATCACGCGTCCAGCGAACAAGCCCTTACAGACACTTCAACCATCCATTGCTCGAATCCTTCCTGACTTGCCCCAGACTGCTTTTCAAGACTCGGCGTGGCAGGAAAAGATCAATGCCATTCAAGTGGCCATTGACAAGGAGCAACAAGGAGACAACACTTTCGATGTGGAAAAGGAGGGGCAGGAAGCACCTCGAAGAAAGTTCTTGCTCAATCATGCAATCATGGTGGGATTCGCAATGGTACTGACCGTGGTCGTGGAGATGGCCTGTATCGCGAAGATGGTCAGAGAGGTCCAGCTGGACGGCAGCTACACCAGATTTGCGCTTGCCGCCACGGTGCCCTTGTTCGCGACGTTCTCGCTGTTCTTCATGATTGTGACCAGTGGCTCTTTGTGGCAACTCTTCGGTCCAGTCTCACCTCTCAAGACGAACAGCAAGTACTACTCTGCAGTTGCACCAAAGCCCGGTCGATACCCCGGACTCGAGTTACCCCACATCACCATCCAAATGCCTGTCTACAAGGAGGGCTTGCAGAATGTGATCATCCCAACAATCATGAGTGTCATGGCGGCTGTCAAAAAGTACGAAACACATGGTGGCACCGCTACCATATACGTCAATGACGACGGTATGCAACTGGTTGGGAAAGATCTGGCCGATGCACGCAAGGCCTATTATTCCCTTAACAGTATCGGATGGTGTGCTCGACCACCTCACAATGACACGAAAGCGAAAAAGAAGACGAATAAGTGGCGGAAGAGCAAAGACTCTGAGAAGGTCGACCTCGAAAACGAGGACACAGGAGTTCATTTCATACGCAAGGGCAAATTCAAGAAGGCCAGCAACATGAATCATTGTCTTGACTTTTCTCTTCGTGTTGAAGATGAATATTGTGAGATGGCGAAGCGACTTTGCGAAGAGCGTGGTTGCATCGAAGACGACCTCACAGCTCAAGAAGAAAGTCTGATATATGAACAGGCGAGAGATCAAGTTCTCCAGAATGACGGAGGCAAAACCTGGGCTTCGGGTGATGTCCGAGTGGGATCCTATATTCTCATCATCGACTCCGACACACGAGTGCCCGAGGACTGTCTCCTTTATGGCGCCTTGGAGATGCACGAGAGCCCAGAAGTGGCTTTGATTCAGCATGCTTCCGGGATCATGCAGGTTGTACACAACGCTTTCGAGAACGGCATTGCTTTCTTCACGAACTTGGTGTATACATCCATTCAATTTGCGGTCGGGAACGGAGATTGTGCGCCCTTCGTGGGCCATAACACGTTCATCCGTTGGGATGCTCTTCAGTCCATCTCCTGGTTTGACGAGGACGATCAGTGTACCAAATTCTGGTCTGACAGCCACGTTTCAGAGGACTTTGACGTGAGTTTGCGATTGCAGATGAACGATTTTGTCGTCCGTCTGGCCACCTACCATGATGGTGGCTTCAAGGAAGGTGTCAGTCTCACCGTGTACGACGAGATTGCCCGTTGGGAGAAGTACGCTTATGGCTGCAATGAGTTGGTCTTCAATCCTTTGTACCAATGGCCATACAAGGGTCCATTTACCCGGCTTTTCATGCGCTTCGTCTTCAGCAAAATCAAGATTACAGTAAGTACCCCAGCCAGTTCAGCTGGTCTTTCTTTTCACACGCGACGACCGTGTACTGACGCCTCTTGTGAACAGAGCAAGATCACAATTTTTGCCTACATTGGAACATACTATGCTGTTGCCTCAGCCATCCCTCTGTCACTTGCCAACTATTTTATCGTGGGCTGGTTTGCCAACGACATTGATCAGTTCTACTTGACTTCGTGGCAAGTGTTTGTGGGAATGGCAGCGGTTTTCAACGTCCTCTCACCAGTTGGCTACTCCATGCTTCGACACCGACTTGGAAAGACTACCTTCTTCGATGCTTTGAAGGAGGGCATCAAGTGGACTCCCATGTTCCTACTTTTCTTTGGTGGCATTTCATTCCACTTGCTCAAGGCCATCTCATGCCACTTCTTCAGCATCAACATGGAATGGACAACGACCGCCAAAGAATACAGTGGAGGCTTCAGAGTGGGTCTCGATCGCATTGTTCGCGATTTCAAGTGGATGTACCTGATCGTCGCGATGCTGACGGGAGGAATGATCTACCTGGCTTGTTTTGCGCCTTACGGCTGGACGATCGAGGATTTTTCGGCAATCGTCCCTCTGGCAAACCAAGTGGGCTGCCATGCTTTGTTGCCTTTCGCGTTGGGCCTCTTCTAAAGGTGGTAGGCAGGAGACCTGGCAATCTGTGCCACATTCTCGGAATGGCGCGAGTGGATCCCTCAGCTGGCGGTTTTCTGTGAGCACGAATAGCGTTAAATTAGAATTGAACAGGGAGCCGAAAAGTCCCTAATTGTAACGTCTTAGGCATGATGTAGTGTCAAATCTGCTCTGCGTGTCGTGAATCCCCACCATAGAGTTAGAGAACACGGCACATTTGTGCAGCAGTCTTCTTTGCTGGGATCTCGCTTACTTGCTCTCCGGAAGCTCGGGTCAAGCACAGGCCAAGAGAGAAAAAGTCCTTATGCGAGCATGCGTGACAGTCACTTCTCCCAAATCCTGGTCTGAGCGCAAAGTCCACGTGGGAAGAGAGCAAGAGCCAACAAATTCAGGCACATCTACGTCTGCGTGCACGGTCTCAACGGTCTGTCACCTATCGTGGGATCAGATCATGGGGTCAACAACAAGTGACAGTAGACTCTCATCTGTGATAATGGTTCTGTGAACGCCCATGCAAGGCTCGTTCCAAAATGGTCACTTTCGTTCAGAGACATGCTATGACACCCGGATGATCTCCCCGAAACCACTTGACAGCCGACCTTCCCAGCTTACTGAGGCCCCAACGATTGCGCGATAATCGGTCTTTCTTTTTTCCATGACCGGGCTTGGCGACTCGGAGGACTTGATCGCTTGATGGCCTGTGCGCTGACACACCTTGCGAAGCTCGAGCCACCAGGGTCCGCTACCACGTTTTTCCAGGTCAAGGTGCCACGACGAACACGGCTGGGACTCATCTAATTATCCGAACCTGCTCAGATCGAGCCAATTGAAGACCCATAGACGCATTTCGTCTCAAGTGGCTGCTGAGTGGCTGCTTGCTGCAACCTGAGCCCTTCATATCAAGCTGGTATCTTCCTTAAACTTCTGATAGTACTGCAGTGATAGCCCGTGTACTCCGCTGAAAAAGGTGCATACTCCGTACATGTGCCGATTGTGGCTGAAAGGCTTGACCACAGCAAGCCACAGGTTGCTGCTGTACCAGAACCTCTGACTGTTCTGGCAGTGGAGAGCTTGAGACCTTACGCTAGCTCTTCGGAATCGAAGATAAGAACGGAGCAACGGAGATCGTGACAAGGTTGTCCGTAGTCCTGGCCATAGACCGCATGTCCTCGCGGAATTTGTCAGTAAGGTGTTCTTAACCCCAACACCTAGGTGAGTCAGCTCGCTCTGAAAGCATCAATCTGATCTTCGACTGTCTCTGGCGAAAATTGCGAATTACTTTGCGATTGCGCAGTGACCACCCACCACGTGCGTCTAACCTTTTTCCCCGTTGCTTCTGGCAGTTCCTCCCCCGTGACATGCCCAGGTCTGTGCTCTCAGACAGATTTCATGCGAAGTACTTCTCGCTTATGAACTATGGTACCTGGAAACACGCAGTAGCTTCGCACTCGGTAAACCATCGTGGTTGGTCCCAGCTCAGGCCAGAGTAGAGGACTTCCGTGTTGTCGATTTGATTCGATTCTTTCTGGCTCGCAGGATGACGGCCGCCGGACCTGGGTAACACTCAGATGCACACTGACTCTCCTTGGGGCCAGGATCAACCGAATTGTTTCGATGACTGGCGGATCTGCGGCTTCCACTGCAGGGTTCTCAACCTCATTGACAGAGGAGAGTGCTCTGAGCCTTCTTCAACTCAAAGGTTGACTTACTCATCTCCTTCAGATCTTTTGAGGAGCAATCCTGTGCCCCTACCACATACGCGTGTTGGAGGGCAACAGTGTTGCCACCATCCGCGTCGTGTTTAAGGGCCCTTTCAGTATATGAAGGGTGACAACGCAGTATCGCCCATCAGCACTATCTGCCTGCGGTGAATGAGTCCTCCCACGCCCTCGAGGGAACACATCGTCAGGAGGTGCGATAATGGTATTACAGACACCCAGTGCGAGTTAACAGGAACTGCTAGACGAAAAGACTTGTTACTTTGATTTCGGTGATCTGTATGCTCGTGAGAATATGCTTGAAGCTGGGGAATATGAGGAGTTGATCCTGTCATTCTCCCAACGAATGTCGAAATGCGAGCTTCTGCATCACGTCATCTGTTGGCATCTCACACAATCCCCAATTCTGGCATAAAGCTCCATCTTTTTGCACATGCTTTGACATCGAAGGGGGCACGAGGGACTGTTGCTCGAGAGTCGTACCTACACGAAAGTCACGAACATGTTCATGCGTCCGTTCTTTTGTGCATGCTCGAGTACAGCAGTGGAGTGATCTACGCACACACGAAGCTGTGGTTGGCTGCCAAAATGAGCCTACGTTTGGTAGGTTCTGCTAGTGCTTTTTTCTGCTTGTCGTCAATATTTCTACATGGTCGTCGCAATGCATGCATGCAGGACTCACTGTCAAGGAACAGCCTAGGCGAAGCACATCAGAAATACTGTTATGGCGCAACCGGTGCATGTGCATCTGTTACCGGCCAAAACTGCCAGGATGTTCATGCATGAATGGCGCAAGAATGGCGCAACCAAGAGTCGAAGGGATTAATGTGCAGCCCTGCCCGACAGTTCACCATATGCCAGGACTTTGACAAAAGCTGCAACATTTCGAAGATAAACCATCGTGCGTGAAAATGTCCACCGAGAATTCCAATTCGTTGAAGCCTACCCTGGAGACAACGGTGGTGGATGATTCAGTCCCTACCACTGGGCCAAGCACACCGACTGCACGAAGCTGGCCTGATGTTGAGGAAAAGACCCGGAGCAGAAGGAGTCGGATCTTTCGCTCAAGTGAGCGGTATGTTTGGGACGACCCAGACAAGCCAAAAGAGGAGAAATGGTTCCTGTTCAAGCTCGACATACTTCTGCTTACCATTTCCTGCCTTGGATATTTCAGCAAGAACCTGGATCAGGCTAACATCAATAATGCTTATGTGTCTGGAATGAAGGAGGCACTCCAAATGAACGGCAATCAACTCACTTATGCGGGCAATGTCTTTACCGCCGGCTACGTTCTCGGACAGCTTCCAGCAGTCATTCTGGCCACGCTTATACGACCCTCGATCCTTATCCCAACCATGGAGATTCTATGGTCCGTGTTCACCTTTTACTCAGCCGCTGTCAAGACCTCGTCCCAGTTGTACGCCATGCGCTTTTTGATTGCAATCTGCGAGGGCACTTACTTCCCCACCGTGGATTATCTCCTTGGGTCGTGGTATACCAAAAATGAGCGTGGCAAACGCATGACCATCTTCTACGCCACCGCCAGCTTGGCTGGTATGTTCAGCGGATATTTGCAGGCGGGAGCCTACAAAGGGCTCAATGGTGTCCTTGGTCATGCTAGCTAGCAGTGGTTGTTTATTGTTTGTGGCATCATCAGCTTGCCCGTTGGCATCATGGGATACTTCTTCTACCCTGATTTTCCTGAAACGACCCGCGCCTTCTATCTGACAGAGAAGGGAGGTTGAATGGGCACGGAAAAGGTTGCTTGCTGATGGCATGAGGCCTCTCGGTGCTGCGGCTTGGGAAAGGAAAAATATCTTTCGCATCATGGCCCAATGGCAGTTTTGGGTCCTGCCGGTTGGCTACTTTCTGGTGCAATCCAGCTATCCAATCTATCAGCCTGCGTACGCTTTGTGGTTGAAATCGAGGGGCCACACAACCTACCAGATCAATGTCTGGCCAACAGGCCAATACGCCAGGAGTGTGGTTGTACAGTTGTTGGCAGGCATGATTTCAGACTCCCCTTTGCTCCGTGGCAAACGCTGGCAGACAATCATCGCTATGCAAATCCCCACCATCTTTGGATGCATTGTCCTCGCCGTCTGGGATGTTCCGATCGGTCTCAAATATACGGCATACTATCTGACGTACACTTGCGCCGGCGTTCCTGGAATATATTATGCTTATTATTCGGATTTGATGGCACATGATCATGAAATGAGAGGCTTTCTGATCGCGGCATCGAACATGTTCAGTTATATCCAGTCCATTTGGTGGACACTTACGGTTTGGAGAACCACGTTGGGACCTCGTTTCCATGCAGCATTCATCGGTGCGTCATGCACCGGCGTCGGGCTTTGTATACTTGCAGTTGTGCTCAGGGCACTCGAGCTACGTGATCAAAGAAAACGTGTCTTGGTTCACGAGGAAGACAGCGGCGAAGCTGTCCCCGGTCCAACACGTAGTGTTCTCGAAGAAAGTGGAAACGAATTCGCAGTGCCACATGTCTGAGAAGCGGAGGATGGCATGTTGACGAAACGAGTCATGTCAAAGCAGCGGCGGGCTCATCGAATGTTGACGCTGCATTTTTGTGACAATGAGTTGTATAGTCCGGCGCGATAAGGGGTATCTTAAGAATTTGGGCGGATGAATCTGAGGTAGTGAATCATGCTGCAACAAGTATGGTTGCGCATGTGCATGCACAACTGCGCTACCGGGGAACGTTGCGAGTAAGATTGTCTTTCTGGCAGGACCAGGTTCATCATGTGGTACAGGGCAGGCATTTGTTGTGCATGGTGGCTCTGCCACGGAATAGGGGTGTGGCCTCCTCAAGAGGTTGGTGAGATTCTCGTCCTCGACAACCACAAGTGTCAGTCCAGCGTTCAGACACAATATGGGTTGCCGGATACATCATCCAGTGTAACTGCAGTATCATGTTTTGTGACGCATCTCGCTGATCATGGCCCCAATGTGTGCTTTTTTGACAGTCCAACTCTTCACATATCGAGCTTGTCCCTTTTCATCGGAGCCAGATTCGAGAGGAAACACCACTGATAGATTGGGAGGGATCATCGAGCGGCACGCGAACGAAGGAATTGTTCCAGGCTCCAAAGGGACATTTGACTCTGGTGTCGTCGAACTTGTAGACTGACAAGCTCGGGATGTGACCTCGTGAGACCGTGATCGGTCCGCCGGCGGTATACTTGCTCATGGCGTGCTGGGAGTTGTTCAAACCCAATAGTCCTGCCGATGTAGGCTGCAAAAAGTGCATCTGCGCCATTCCCACATGGAGAAAAGTTGTACTCTGTGGGAAGGAGGGGGCAGGAACATGTCAGGTTAGATTAGTCGTGGTCAAGCAGGAACAACAATAACCAACGCACAATTACTCCCGCACTTTATCCGGTGCAAACTGCGGTCGCATAGCGTCGCGATCACTTCGACATTTGTTCCTTCTGTCCATGTCACGTTCGCAGTGTCTTCCACACCGTGGACAGTTCCTGAAGTGTTCACCTGACGCGGCCTCTTTCTTCAAGGAACGTAACATTCCGCGTTCATGATTGCGAACAACAGGTATCCGACACTCGAAAAATCCCTCGTCCGGAACGACAATCAATCATATTCTTTCCCTGGGAAAGGCATTTCTGACTGAAACAAAGAGAGCTTCTCAAATGGTGCCTTCGAAGCCGTTTTCCCTGTTCGAGTCTTACCATATCTGATGTTGGCCGAAATCATGTTCAAGCCGTTCTTCTCCTGTCATGGCACTGGCCGTCGTGATATGAAAAACAACGGTTCGATGCACGATACAGATGCAAGAGCAGATGCAAGAGCTTCAGGTACATGGACACACTACGACCCTCGGTCTCACGGTCACCAATGCCAGGACGATTGAATGAAAGCTAGTCACGGAGAGCCTTCGAAGATACTGCAAATCCACAGCTCAACCTGTGTTCTCTGCGCCCATGTATCTCGTGTTTGTTGTGCATTGTTTTGCCCACGAACGCGTGAGGGTGTCCCTTCATGTGTAGGCTCAACAACCGACCGGTTGGATGTCTTCTGTGAGCTGGTGTAATATCCTTCTAAAGCGCTTTTGCACAATGCTTCAACACCTCTCCTGGTTATTTAGCTGTTATTGACACGATTCGAAGATCAGGTTGCAGTCGCCAACTTCCAGGGACTCAAACTCCCTCGCCCAGTGCCCTTCTTCCTTCATCACTGATACTATCTAGGTCTAACGCTCCAACCATCTTCCTTTCATTTTGCGTACTCAGCACCAGCTCCGGGCCTGCACCATCCAGGTACTTGTAATCCTCCGGAGGATTCCCTTCCAATAGGTCCCGCCAATAACTTCGGATATACTCCTTGTTTTTTGGTGTTGACGGCGCCGCAGGGATATATACAACAGAGGCCGGCTCCCTCCCCTTGTGTGAGGTCTCGACTGCATGACACATATCAGCGTGCCACCAAATAGTGTCGCCCGGCTCAACACGTGGCGCACTGACAAGCGTTTGTTCAAGGCATAAGTGTGGGTGTGAAGCTGGAGAAAGCAGCTGTGAGTCCCAGCGGTATGTGCCAGGAAACCAACCTGTTTCGGTATCAATGGTCCAACTCTCCGGATCCAGCAGATCGCATTCTTCCGGGGGCGGCTTGAAGAAAGGTCGAAGAATCATATACGCGGTCACCGCCTGAATATCAGGTAGCAACATGAGGCCTCCTTCGCCTGGAGCGCACGACGTCAGCGCTGTCCAGCCCTGAAACCCACGAAGTACGCTGCATTGGGCACCGCCAGGGAACAAGGAGGAATTTGCTGCACGTCGGTGTGTCAAGTCGTACGGATCATATTCTTCCGGCTTGCCAGACAGGATTCTCGAGTATGTCAGGCTATACGGACCGTCACACCAGCGCACGAGGCTTCCCCCATCGATGTGTGGTCCTAATCCCAGGAAATCCTGGCCCGGTTGGCGAATACGCAATGCATCTGGATACAGGACCGGCAGCAACTGCGCGGATTGCTCCTCTGGTGTCTTCAGCGTGCCATCAGAAAACAGTGAGTTGATGAGATACTGCAAGTTGAGTTGGCGGGGGTGAGTACGCAATTTGAGCTGCACGGGTGAGGAATAGAGGTGGAAAATGGCAGGATTCTTGGCCGGCCAACCTGTGATATTTTCCCCGTTGTCCGCCATGAATTGTTGCAGATCTTCAAAGCAGTCCGTGGCTTCGTTATGCGGAATCACGTCGCGAACGATGAAGCAACCGGTGTCCTTCATGCGCGACAACGTGATATATCACATGACATGACTTGGTCATAGGTGAGTACTGGTACTGCCGATGATCCTTGCCGGGCGATCCTCGATGTTATCTCCTTCAACTTGTTGCAAGTCTTGATCCATGCTTGCTCGAGGTTGTCTGCGCCATACTCAGCAACCAAAGACCTCTTCAATTCCAGTTGGAACGTGTCGCTCGGGTCGTTGTCCTTGGGTATGAATGAAGGCCAGCCCGCAGGCCATGTTGTGGAGGCCGAAGGTGGGATTGTTCTTGCTGGCATATTGGTACGTCGATGATGTATGTAAGATCACCGAAGCAGCATGCTCGAGAAATACGGCCAGCGACAGGGTCCCGCGCCGAGTTCGCGGCGCACTTGCTTTCTCACTGAGATCGAGATGGAACAAACTCGAGGCCGAATCTCCGCCCCTGCTGCACGTCTGTGACTTTTGCCCAACACCGAACGTTTCGCCATCACGAGGTCTTGAATTAAAGGTCAAGCGTACTCTCGCGGCAACCTGGTAGGAGATCGCCGCAATGAAGGCTAATCTTCAAGTCAAAATTTCGAGTTTAGGGTCGCGGTGCTTGGCATGGCGATGTTCGCGTCTACGTGATAAACAAGACGACGTTTATTGGTGTGTGGCCAATCACTACTGTCTTTCTCTTAACAAGAGCCATGCGCCGTTGCAAGACATCTAAACGAGTCATGAGATTGGTTCAAATTCGACGAAGGAATGCAAGAAGGAGTCATGAGACCTCAGTTTGTCAAAGAGATCGGATGCCTGACTTCTTCTAGGTCGCAGCTTATCGGACGCTGCTCCGACCACTGGGAGCCTGTGAACCACCATCGCTCAACTGTCCAGCAGCAGACGCAGCGGTTGCGGCTCTTTGTGCCACTCTCCCAAACTTCGACGCGCTTTACTTTCGGGCAATTTGATGACAAAAGTGAGGCTTGGGAGTTCATGAAATAAGGATGGCATCCTCACCGGCCAAACGCAGTGACTAATGTACGTCAAAAAGTACGCTATTGTCAATGTTACCAGGCTTGTGCCAGTTCTTATCAAAACCTTCTTATCACGACTGTTGGGATTGAGATTTGGCGGAACGACTATACAATACTAGGCAGGGTAAAGACGTCGGATATGAGCGACACACACCACAGACTCCTGATGCAGATGCATCCCCCTCCGACACGAACGTCGCCGATTTCGAAGCGCACGATTCGCAGATCCTATTTAATAGGACACCGGCACTATTGAGGCAGAAGTTTCTATAGGTCTGCTTTCAAGTTCCAAATCTTCTCTCAAAATGGCAGAAAAAAAGATGGTCTTGCACTCAGCTGAGCCTGCACACGATGGCGTTGAAGTTCCAGCATCGGCTTCACGAAGAACTCGGGCCAACCGACGCTATGTCAGCAGACTCGTGCCTGAGATCCCCAGTACCTCACGGGCCTGCTTTTCCTCGTGGCGACATTCCAAGCATTGCTCAATGGCTAGGATACTTCCATGATGAATGCGCTGAACATTCTTCCCTCCTATACGGATTATTTCACGTTGACTACCACCACTCTGTCGCTGAATACTGCCTCGGTCTGGGTTGGCGGCATTGTCTCAGGTTTCGTCGCTGGTGCGTTCTGCGACCGGGCCGGCCGCAAGTGGACAATGTGCTGGTCTTCTGCTCTTTGCATCATCGGCGCCATCATCCAGACCGCCGCTCAGAACATTGGTATGTTCGTTGCAGCACGTGTCATCATCGGATTCGGGGCCGGCGTGGCAGCAGTGGGCGCCGCCTCATACCTTGCCGAGACGGTTGCTCTCACATGGCGTCCTTTCGTGTTGGGCTTTTACTGGGATGCCTGGTTCATTGGAGCGTCGATCTCAGCTGGCATCACCTATGGCACCAAGGATATTTTGAATACTTGGGCCTGGCGCGCACCTTCGCTGATCCAGATTCTACCCGCGATGCTCTGCATTGGTATCCTGCCCCTTCATCCCAGAGAGCCCACGATGGCTTGCCTATAAGGATCGGAAGGACGATGCCCTCGAGGTTCTTGCTGTCGCCCACGCCTGGGGTGACACGACCGATCCGATGGTAGTTGCTGAGTACCGCGAGATCACGGAGACGCTGGAATTCGAGAAGATAGCCGGCTCCGTTTCGGCGCTCGAGACGATCCGGACACCAGGAAATCGCAAGCGTGTCATGATATGCATCAGTGTCGGCATCTTCTCTATGACAATGGGAAATAACATTGTCACCTACTATTTTGGCACTATGCCCAACCAGGCCGGTGTCACCGACTTTAATACGCAATTGAAAGTCAACATCATTCTCTCTGCGTGGGCACTTGTTTGTGCTCTTGCTGGTACGATGTTTGCTGACAAACTGGGCCGACGTATGCTGTGCCTTGTCTCAACAGCTTCAGCAACCGTTTTCCTGTTCCTCACTGGTGGTTTCTCAAACCTCTACGGTGATGGTGCAAACGTGTCCGGGTCATACGCCACCGTCGCCATGATGTTTCTCTTCATGGGCTGCTATTCGTTTGGCTGGACACCGCTCACCATGTTATACCCAGTGGAAGTGCTAAATTACTCCACTCGTGCAACTGGAATGGGAATGTACATGTTCTGGGCCAATGGAATCGGGTTGCTTGTCACATTTGCCTTCCCGTACTCATTCGAGGCCATTGGCTGGAAGACGTACATGTTCAACGCCACTTTCAATGCACTGACTATCTTGTATATCTGGTATTTCTGGGTCGAGACAAGAGGCAAGACTTTAGAAGAGATTGACGTGTTGATAGAAGGGGTGAAGCACGCCGATGTCCCGGACTTGATGGATGTCATTAAGGGCAAAGCAGTTGTTGATAGTGTGTGAAGGGCAGGCTGCTAGGTTCACCGCCGTTGTCAGCAGGATCGGAGTAGTGCATCAGTCAGGCACTGTGCTCATGCGCCCTCTCACTCTGTTAGACTTTCAAGCCATATCTTTTATGTCACGGAAACAGGGTTCTGCTGACATTGATTCGTCATCAAGTAACGTGCGGTAAGTTATGGAGTTCGGAAGCAGTACAAAGTTATAACTGTGGCAATTGGTTCCGCAGAATAACCCCCTGCGTCAATCCCCACATTGTCACTATCCTCCATTCTCTTTATCTGCACCGAAACAACAACCGTGTCAAGCATGCATCGCTGCGACATTGTGAATTTACAGGGACGTCAAGTCATACATGGGTCACTCTCGGGATGGGCTCGGCACATATAATACTTGGTATTTGATTCAGACTATCTAACCTAAGCTTCAGGCTGCTACTAGACTGCTAGCACCGTATGCTGTGTTCATCTTCGAGAGGTAGTGTTCCGCTTGAGTAACGGGCTTGTAGATCACAGGTCGAGCCTCGGAGACGCAGGAAGGCAGAGTGTGCATCACGCAGTCGTAGTCAACCCCGAAGAAGAACGGGATCGAGTACCGTTCAACTCCTGAAGTGTTGGTCGCTCGGTGTAAAGTCGAAAGGAAAACATTGTTCGTCCAGATGGAGAGTGCATCGCCAATGTTGACGACAAACGTGTCCGGGATGGGCTTCGCAGGCACCCACACCCCTTCCCCGTTGACGACTTCTAAAGCATTGATCCCATCGCTCTGCAAGAGGATTGTGAATAACTCATGGTCGGTGTGAGCATGAATACTAGCTTGCTTGCCCTCGCTCTGGGCCGCATAGTAATTCAAAGACAGCAGTGAGCCTGGCTTCGACATCTTGTCGTCGAAGAAGGTCTTGTCGAGCTCCAGCGACAGGGCGAAGATGCTAACGAGCTTGCGGCTGAGGCTCGTCATTTGTTCATAATAGCTTCCAACAGAAGACTTGAATCCGGGCAACTCGTCATCTTCTGGCCACTGGTTGTGAGCATCATCCTTTGGATCCACGGTGTCGCGGTACTCCTTGTCAAATTGGACCTCACGTCCAATCAATATGCTCTCGTAGGGGTGTGCCTTCTTGCCGCCGTTGCGAGCAGCTCTGTAGGGATCATAACCAAGATGGAATTGACTCTTTTCACGGCTGATCTTCATCTTCTGTTCCGGTGAGAGATCCTTGAAGAAGCGTTGAGCCTCGGACTTGATTGAAGCGACAGAGTCTTTTGAGATGCCATGGTTCTTGATGTAGAAGAATCCGACCTGGGTGCAGGCATCGTAGATCTTGGACGCCAGGGCTCGTTGCTTCTGTTGGTCGGGGCTGTCAATGTCTGAAAGGTCGATGACTGGGAGGTCTTTGAACGACGTGAGACCTTCTGGTTCGCGGACCTTTCGACATCCCATGCCAGATCCAACATCAAAGTCTGCTACAGTCATTTTGGCGATGTTGACAGGGTTGTAGCTTGCTGACCGTGAATCTTAGGATGATAACAGGTGTGAGAAGCCCTGACTCGTGTTCTAGATATATCCGATTCGTGTCTGAATACTCAATCAACACGATATCCCAACCCCACTTTGGTTCTCGTGTCGTATACCTCAATTATTCTGATAATCTTGTATAGATAACATGAAGATGGGGGAAGGGTTCAGCCTGGTTTAGGTACTCCTCTGAAGAGTGGCCTGACGGGGATGCTAAGTGCGGACCAACAGAACCGGACATCGCTGGTGCCGCCTTAGCGCTAAAGCACTGATGTACACTTGGATCTTCTCTCTTGCCTAATTTGTACTCTCGAGCATGCCGTATTCGACCCAGCCACAGGATAGGATATGTCGGCCTGTGTAATAGCGTGTGACAATGCGTCGTTGGCAGTATACCGGATACTGCTTCAGGCCTCTCATTGTCCCGCTTCTTCATCAATGAGGTGAAGTATGCCTTAGTGGCCAGCATCTCCCTTCGCCCTCCGATTCGGCTGCTCCTGGGCATTGGTAGTCAGTTTTGAAGATGCTACGAATGAAACAAACCTAGCAGATTGATGCTGCGCCTCATGATATTTGCACTGGACTCTGGGCTATCACAACTGTAGTGGTTGCAACGATATGGTTGTTGGACCCTTCGAGGCTAGATGCTTCCACGACAAGAGGAGTATTGCCCAAGGCAAGAGTGGCGGAACCGTTTCCTCTGCCCCTATCATCCTAAAACGACAAGGCCTAGAAGGTCCTAGCGAGAGAACCTGTGTCTCCCTATCACTCCCAAGAAGGATGGGGCAAGCTTGTTCCTTATCAAGGTCATGCAAGCTTTATCAAGAGCTTCAGACAAGTTGTCCGCACCATCTCCGGAAGTTTCGGCACGGGAGGCTTAGGGATTATAATGCCGGCTTATGCCTAAAATACTCCAAACTGAGGCATCTACCACTAACAACAGCGCAGCGAATGATACCAGTGGCACTTACCCACCAGCGAGAATATAGTTCGCCGTCGCCTTGTCCAAAAGTCACTCCACAAAGCTAGTTTTGACTTATCACAGAAACGGGACACGGACAAAACAGTGCCGAAATGCTGTCTGAAGGCGTCGTCTGCAGATGCGTAGATGGCTCTCATCTTCCAGTTGCGAGATGCTGCTGTGACTGTACGGCGCGTTGATTAGGAGGCTGGGATGTCTCCTCGCATGAGATCTTATGGAGCGACACAGATTGTATCCTGCAACCTCAAGCACTGTCGACATGCGTGCCTAGGGTCTACTGACCTGCGCTAGCTAGGCCAACCATGCTCCTCCACTCTTCTGATCGATAGGCAGAGATACCAGTATCCCCCATCTCAGAGTTCACTGCTCGCTCTGGCCCGGTGTATACACCTAGTTATCGTGTTGATCGACAATTGTCCACATTGGCCATTGCGCTAGCCGCTTGCACCTATCTCTGAGGCCAGAATTGTCTGTCAACGGTATGGGCTTCGTGCTATCAGCCGGACGCGAGGCTCATGGACGGCTACTTAGGTGAGCGTTATTGTCCATAAGCATCTCCAGAAGCTACCATCTTGTCTTCCCTTCTTTTGACACCGCACATTGCATTACAGTGCTCTCGGACCATGGCCGATATCGAAAAGGGCAAGCCCCTGGCTGGGGAACCATTGACTACAGTGGAGATATCCTCCGACGAGTCCTACGAGATCGAAAAGCGTGACTCGGTGCTATGGAAGATTGTGAGATGGTGTCGCGCCGAAGAGACTGGCGTTGAGCGCGTTACGGACGACATGAAGACCAACCATTCTCCATACTCTATAGGGATACTTTGGATGGCCATCAACATGGTTCCTCTTGGGTGCAACATCGGCATGCAGGGGATTACCTACTACGGCATGGGCTGGTGGGACTCATTCTGCTGTATCCTGTTCTTCAACATCATCGGTGTCCTCCCAGTTGCCTACATGAGCACTTTTGGTCCTGCCTTTGGCATGCGACAGATGGTCTTGACCAGGTACTTCGTCGGCTTTCAAGTCATGCGATTATTCGCCGCCATCAATGTGCTGACCTGCATCGGCTGGTCGATGCTCAACGACATTTCTGGCGCCAACCTACTTCATACGCTCGGCAATGGTGCCTTGCCACCTTATGCTTGCATCTTGATTTCAGCCAGTTGTACCATGGTCATCACGATGATGGGATACAAGGTCATCCACAAATACATGTCTTGGTTTTGGGTTCCCACTGTCATCATGATCATCATCTTCATTGCCCGGATCGGTATGTCACACTCCTTCTCGACCGGCACTATGGCTGCTGGCTCGGCCGAGGCAGGTGCAGTTCTTTCATATGGTGCGGCCTTGGTCGGCAATGCCTCCGGCTGGACACTGTTCGCCTGCGACTACAGTCTGTACCTTCCCAAGACCACTTCCAAATGGAAGTTGGGAGCGTCGGTGTACGCTGGCATCTTCTTCACTACCATGTTCCTCCAGTTGACGGGTCTGGCTGCGGCTGCCTGCACCTTCACCAACGAGTACTATGCACAAATGTACGAAGATTATGGAGCTGGAGGGTTGTTTTACGGCTTCCTCGTACACGACTCATTGCACGGCTTTGGAGAGTTTGTGATTGTGATGCTCTTCCTCTCCTTGGTCGCCTGCAACGTGGCTTGCGTCTACTCGGCATCGCTGTCTGCCCAAGCCATCTGCTCCCAATTCAGGGTCCTGCCACGATTCTTCTGGGCACTTCTCGCCAATCTCGTGGCCTTGGGCGTCAGCATTGCGGCATACTACAAGTTCGACGAAGTCCTGAATGACGTCCTGGGCATGATCGGTTACTTTATAACTCTGTATGTCGGCATTTTCCTCTCGGAACATCTGATCTATCGACGAAAGCTTGGTTACAACCTTGAGTCGTACCAAGACGCGAAGAAGATGCCAGTCAGCTACGCAGCCTTGTTCGCCTTTTGCTGCGGAGTAGCTGGCGCGGCGGTGGGCATGTACGAAGCCTGGTGGATAGGCCCTGTGGCCAAGGATGTTAGTTCGGTCTTTCCAGGCGATCTGGGCTTTGAGCTGGCCTTCTGCTTCGCCTTTATCGGACATGCATCAACCCGGTGGATCGAGATCAAGTATTGGGGAATGTGAATGGTGTGCTACGCGCGAATGTCTTGTTGAAGGCCAGCTTTGCCTGGCGTCACTGTTGATGTTGAGAAACAACCTGGCAGCTAGACAACAAGGAAATGTATCAGATTCAGAACACGTTATGCTAGTATACGTACAAATATGTTTCCCAGAGAACGTGTTTACGAAAGTATGGGATTGCGAACATTAGGAGGGGGAGCGAAAAGAGCCTCCTCGAGCATGACATTACTCCAGGGGCTCAACTTAGGGCACCCAAACCTACTTGCGCATGCCCACGCTGCCCGCAGTAAGCTAAGTTACAAGGGTAATCATCGGCAGAACCGTGCCTGGACAGAGTGACTTTCAATTAAAAACACGTTCGATTAGTGATTAGCCTAAATTCCACATCGAAGTCGCGTCAAGTCGACGAACACGCCTGCGTCTCCTCACATTTCGGCGGAATTGCAACGCCTTCTCTCTGATATTCTGTCCAATCGATGTGCAACCATCATGTAGGCGTCGGCATATCTGCCGAGGACAGGGAGATGCCGTGTCTGTTTCATATGCTCTAGGACAGACCCCAAGCACATGTTTGCATTTTATCCTTGATACAGCTAACCTGACGAATTCAGTTCTCTCTGCAGCCTGTATCGTGCCCGACCCCTCTGAAATTTACTACGATGCCCTCAGCAACAACAGACGGCCCTCGCTATGTCGATGGAGCACTGATCCCAGACATCCAGAAATATGGTGATAACCCAGTCACTATTCGGGTGACAGAGGAAGAGCTCCATACAGGCAAGACAAGACCGGAGACCGTGCAAGAGTGCCTGCGATACTTCCATCGAGACGGCTTTGTTGTTCTGGAAAATGCCATTGACGAGGGTCTGGTGGACAGGCTATACAATAGAATGGTGCAGGACAACTCAGAATTCCTGCGGAGGAAACACATGCATTGGAATCAAGGCGCCTCCACTGGCAACGTTAGCCAGATCCCGCCACTCACGCCGGAATGGCTCGACCGCGACTTCTACGCAAACCCTCATATGATACGCGTGGCGGAGAATATCCTTGGTCCGAAGCCTGAGCTTCGATTCATCAATAGCAATGTAGCTTGCCCCGGAGGAACCTCCCGTCAAGCAGTTCACAGCGACGTCAGTCATGCATTCCCCGAGATTCCCTTTGGTCTGGTCATGAACATCTACCTTCAAGATTCCGATGCCCAAAATGGGGTGACTGAGGTTTGGTGTGGTACACATAATGCTTATCCTCAGAGCGAACAACAGGTATCCCCTGGTAAAGGGTGGATCAAGAAAGAGTATCTGCAAGAACGGGCAAAAGTGAAGCCTCCTGTACAACCCAAGGTCAAAAAGGGCAGCATTTGCATTCGTGATTTACGCCTCTGGCATGCTGGGATGCCGAATACGAGTGATCATCATCGCATCAGGCTGGCTGTTGATTACTTTGCGCAGTGGTATCAATGTCCGATGACGACCAAACTGCCACTGTCCATGAAAAAAACGATTGAACGTGAATGGGAAGGTGTCTCGACGGTTGGAGTCGAATGGGTTGAAGGAGACTTGAATAGCCTGGACGTGCAGTTCTATCTGAACATGACACAAGACCCATCACAGTATCTACTGCAAACTGAAAAGGGCTTCCAAGATTCTGTGGGTCGTCAGACTGGGAAGTATGTGTACGATACTGCCAAAGTCACTGAACAGAATTACTGGACGCCGGAATAGATGGAGACGATGCTGCAATGCATAGATTGTGTACAACTCTCACACTTCTGACTCTTTCCTGGTCGCGCCTATCGGTCAAGCCGCATGTCAGATGATAATTGCATCGAAGGTTTACGACCATGATGGGAGCGAGGTAGTGACTCGGCAAGGAGATGTCAGGGCAGCAGAAATGTTATAAACACGACAACGTGACGTCAGCGCGAACATCTTTGCGACTACACGAAATCATTTGCGAAGAATGGTACCTGAATTGCAGCTTTTCTTTCTTGTGTACAGTTCCCTTGCTTCCTATACCCGGCCAAGCCTATAGGTATACCCAGTCACGCAATCATGTCGGAACAGATTACCGGAAGCTGCAATTGTGGTCGCCATGTCTACACTATACCCAAGCCAACGCAGATGAATTTATGCCGTCTGTGGAGTTCTTGGATAGTTCCAGGCAGCCCAGCTAACCAATGTTATCAGATTGTATTGATTGCCGCAAATGGGCTGGTGCCATGTGAGCAATACCTTTTGCATTCTCATCGACACGGAATTGCACTGAACGAGTATTCCTCCAGGCACTCTGCCCATCTTTTCGTCGAGTCGAAGGACATCACCACAAGCAGTCCGCAACCACGAACATATACCCAAAACGCTGACAGTGGAAACCCGATGGAACGTGCGTGGTGTGATGAATGCGGCTGCGGGATCTGGATCAAGTCTCATCAGATGCCAGACCAGACATTCTTGAAAGCAGGTAAGCCCAAGAGCTCACTAGTACATCCCGCGACAGCGCCAAAGATATGTCCTTGCGTATCGTTTTGAGGATGGCCGATAACATCCTCAGGACTTTTCAACCCGGGAGAGATTCCAAACCCGACCATGGAGAACTGGCTGAAGAATCTGGAGCCGTGGGAAACACCTGCGAAAGGTACCAAGAGGGCTGTCCAGCTCAATTGACATGTAGTGTATGTTGAAGTACTTCCTGCCCACAATCAACTAACAGATTATCACTTCACTATAATCGTCTCCTGGACGCATCCAGGATCACTGCTTTTTCTCAAGTTGCGGGGCCTTTTCCCCAATGTGGTGAACGTGGGGTCTTTTCGGGGGCCTTTGGACAATCAGCCCCAGTTGCAAGACCCTTGGACCTTCCACAGTGCCTTCTAGACCTTTTGTTTGGTCAGGGGACTGCTTCATAAACCAAACCAAACAGCTTCCACTCTCGCTTTTTAACAAACGTTTTTCACGGTAATAATCAATTTACTTGATAACAGTCCCCATCCTCGTCTGTCGCATATCCAAAATGGGCTCCAGCGGTTTGAAGTACCCTGTTCGGTACGAAGATCCCGAATACCAAGAACAACATAGCACCTTATTCTTAGGCAAACTTTTGCGTCCGTTGGAGGAGGTTCTCCCACCTGGTGTGAGTAAACAAGATTTCGACCTTGCTATTGGCGAGTTCGAGAAAGTCGTCGGCAAAGAACATATCTCGCTGGGCGCGTCTCTCGAGGAGTATGTCGATCCCTATGAATTGTGGGAAAATGACGGCAAGCGAAAGATGCCCAGTGGGGCCGTCCGCCCTGCTTCGATGGAGGAACTGCGAGGAGTATTGAGCATTGCGAACAAGTTTGGAATCCCAGTCTGGACTTTCTCGCGAGGCAAGAATCTGGGCTACGGCGGCCCTGCTCCGCGGCTGAGTGGCTCACTTGCCTTGGATCTGCACCGAATGAACAAAATCATTGAAGTCAATGACAAATTCTCCTACGCAGTTGTCGAGCCAGGCGTCACATTCACCGACCTATATGACTACTGTGTAAAGAACAAACTTCGAGTCTGGCCTAGTGTGCCATCACTTGGCTGGGGCAGTGTCGTTGGCAACACCGTCGATCGAGGAACTGGTTTCACTCCCACGGCAACACATCACCAGCATATCTGCGGCGTGGAGGTGATGCTCGCCGATGGAGATGTGGTCAGGTCCGGACAATTTGCTATATCAAACTCACCATCCTCACACCTGTCAAAGTTCACCTTTGGTCCGTCGATAGAGGGTCTTTTCCTGCAGAGCAACCTTGGCATTGTCACCAAACTCGGTATCTGGCTACACCCCCAACCACAAGCATATATGTCCTGCTCTTGGGACATGCCTAATTTCGAAGATGTGGAACTCATTGTTGAGATATTCGGAGCGCTCCGAAGGGATGGTTTGTTGCCCAACACCGTCTACGTCTCAAACATTGTCGAGTGGCTTGGTATGACGGGGAAACGAGCAGAACTGTGGCCACATGAGGGTCCAATCCCTGACTGGCGGCTCAAAGAGCTCCAGAAGCAACTCGATTTCGGATACTGGAACATCAAGTTCGGATTGTACGGAGCCAAAGAGGTGGTTCAGGCGCATTTCAACGAACTGAAACGAATCATCACCAAGGAAGCTCCTGCTTCCGCACACAGGCTACAGGGTCATATCTTCTCCGGGGAGAACGAGGTGCTCCTGGAAGCAACGTCGATTCCGGATCCTCACGGTGGCTTCTTCGTCGGGGTGCCCAGTCTGTGGAGCTTGCCGATGGTGAAATATCGGCTGCCGAAAGAGGGCGGTGGCATCGGCGCACATGCTGATTATTCTCCTATCATTCCATCCTCTGGCAAAGCCGTCTTGGAGTGGGTGACAACAGCCCGCAAGATCTGCGAAGCGCATGGCTTCGACCTATTTTGCGATTTCTTTATGCATGAACGACATGTCATCTTCGTCAACATGATGGTTTTTGACAAGACGAATCCAGACCACAGACGTTCCGTTGATACGATATTCCGCAGTTTGTACAAGGAAGGACGACAACGTGGTTTCAGTAAATATAGGTCGCATATCAATTATATGGGTGAGTCGCTAGTTCCCTTGAGGCGCCTCCAACCTTGCTAACATCTCAGACTTGGTGGCCGACTCCTACGACTTCAATGACCATGCTTATCGGAGATTCGTGGAGAGAATAAAGGTTTCTTTCTCAATCTCGGATTCTGTGTGCTTGCTAACCATATGCCAGGACACGCTCGATCCGCAGGGAATTCTGTCACCTGGTAAGCAGGGCATCTGGCCTGCGAAGTATCGAAAGTTCCGCGAGCGGCTGTAATGATATGGTGGAAGTGGCCGGGCCACTGCATCTCATTGGAGGTGATGGAGGCTTTGGCTCGTGTAAGCTTAAGCATTGGTCTTCTCAGCGCACACTCTGCGCAAGATCACGATAATAAAATAGTTGCTTGGGAGCGCTCGAGCTTTCTGTAAATGTAAAGATTGGCATCGCCTATGTGGTCTTCAAGACGTCAATTTTCAGCATGCATCGAAAGCCAGATAAAGCGGTATTCTCAAGATGGTTCGCGGACAGTGGTCAAACTGAGCCGCCGTAGTCTTGGGGCTAGCCATTGCTTGCGCCACGAAGGTCGTGTCATAGGGCCAAAAAGAAGGTTTGGTTCATGGCAGATTGAATCTTGATGTCCTGGATGTTCTAGACTGCATTTGTGCTGTCAATCCGCTTGGCAACCTGGTTTTGAAGCTCCTCGTGCTTTCCTGGCAATGGGATATCTGCGACGAACATCGCCGACGACATGGCCATGGAGGGTGAAGTCATACGGCACAAAGTAACTCTTGCACACAACAGACCTCGCAGCATCGGGTTCGGCGTGACTGCTTCCAGGCAGAATACATAGAATGACAGTCGGGGCATTGTAGTGGTATCGACAGCCGTTTGAACAATGCTCTTCGGAACAAACATTTCATGCCTAGCGAATGTCGCAGCAACCATGGGCACGATTCATTGGTTGCACTTGTAGGCGCTCGCTTCAGGCACGGCCAATCGGCAATCACGATATTTGGCTTCTCCCAATCGAGTAGTTGACAACTCGGAGTCGACCTTATTTCTGGCCCCGACTTCCTGGGTATCATTCTAGAGTACCCTCAAGTCATTGCATCCGTCGAAAGAAGGTTTAAATCTGCATACTTCAAGCGGAGGGTGTTATGCGTGACAGGAATTACCGTTGCGAGCGTCGATCTGCATGTGGTCAAGCGGGCGGGCAAAGCTTGCCAGGAGCCGTTGGTTGACGGCGGCACCAAGTGCCTTCACATATCGTCAAAATTCATCGGCAAACAGTGCCTGATGGCGCAATATTTATAGCCTGGGCATAGGCATGAAGAAGGATGAGAGTGTGATCTGGTGGTACATTTGCGTGCCCTCTTCCAGAAATGCACCAACGCCACGGCCATATTTGACGTTGGGCAACCCCACCGGGCTCCCGGGAAGTGCCTTTTCCTTTGCTGTTCTCAAGGAGCTGTTGGGAAGGTAGACTGTTGCCGGTTTGATCTCTGCGCCCAGCGCCGGGTCGTATGGCCACTTGACAAAGAATATTTGGATCTGCCCTGTTTCCCAGTATTGGTGGTCCTCCCATATGCGGAGTCGCTGGCTTTCGGGAACGTCGTCAGCCGAAGCGACATTGAGGCCATCTTCTTCAAGGTTCATAAGTGTTTGCAGTATAGTGCTGCCAGTCGAACCTTGTAAGTCTCCCTCTGTTCTGTTTGTGCGCGCAAGCAAGTCAATAGCCGATCGGCGGATGACGGGATCTCGACATCTTCCCGCAACAAATGCCAAAGTATCAATGACGCCGGAATCAATCCCGAATGAGAAGTTTCTTGAAGCTCTGGTTGGATGTGCCAGGGCGGCCTTGTAGAGCTCAATGATCTCTGAGAACTTCTCGATATGACAGTCGTAGCTGCATTCTTCTTGAGTCCCCAAAGTGTCGAAAAGTATGGATGCGACAATTGCAGCGGCCTTGAGAAGCTGCTTCGAAATCGTCAAGGCTTCGTACCGCTCAAGCACCGTGATGCCAGTTTCATCAAGCGCCGTCATCCAATTCGATAGGAGTTCTTGAGTCTGTGGTCTGCCGTCACCTTCGGTATTGCCAGGATCAACAGTTCCCTGGGCCCATTCGACAATCTCTTCAAGCCTATTTCGTGCCTCTAGTAGGTTGACGAAACGGTACGGGATTTCGGGATACGCCAGGGTATGATCAGGCTTGTCTCCCTTTATGGCTGCACTCAGTGCCAGCGCAGATGGTACGTCGACAATGGTGCAAAATCTCATGCGCAACCTCTCAATGATAGGCCGCAGGAAGTTGTCTAGAACGGCTTTCTCGCTGTCCGCAAGGACTAGGTCGCCCGTCAGAAGTCGGTTGTCAATTTCCGTGATGAGACTGTGACCAGATTTCAGCAGCTGGTAAGCAGTGTGACTGTTTTGCAGGTTTTGCAGACAGACAAAGATGATGCATGATATTAGGGTTGCAATCTCGGAGACCGCTGTTTCATAGGCCATGCGAGATGCCTTGCTACTCTGACGTAGAGCCAGCTGTTGCAAATTCGACTGTTCGTCCGACTCTCCTTCAGCTTCGGAAGATTCATGCAAGGCGCCCAATGCAACTACGCCGTGGAGTATGGATTGATTCGAATGACAGGCTTGGACGATCAGCTTGTTCCAAAAAGATGCGTCCCTCCAGCCGGACCACTCTGGGCCAGTCCTTTGACAAAAGAACACCAAGCTGCGTAACTCCTGGGACTCGAGATCCGGGAATGAGCTGATGGCCTGGATTAAGCGCCCAGATTGGCCTGTCGGTGAGAGAGATGCCGAGAGCAACGCGCGGTGTTGAGGTTCTGCATCATCGGTCGGCTGCAATCGAATATCGGTATCCAGACGCAGTCCAGGTTTCGCATCAGCAACTCGGCGCGGCGTCTGCTCCGGAGACAAGTCGTTGTCCTCCCGCGCCTTCTCAGAGGACAACTTAGATGTCCCTTGCGATGCGCGCGCTCTTATTTGTCGTTCATGTTGGACATGCTTCCGGATGAGTTTAGTCTCGGCTTTTGAGCTGCGCGAGAGGACTTTCGATGCCGAACCTTTGTTGATCCAGAGCAGAGATTCTGGCATCACGCGCTCTGGGTGGTCACAAAGGATGTGTCAGGTTCGACCAAGTAAGATGTCTTTCGGGGGACGAATAAGGCGCGGGGACCAGTTTAATACCCGAAGACAGGTGAAATCGCGCGACCTGAGATATGGCGGGTTGGGCGATGAAAAAATGCCTTCACTGGCTATTTGTATCATCTCAGCATTGCTACGATGGACGGTGGCATCTGGGGGACTGCACCCATGGACAATCAGGCCGACGACGTTTGATGGCCATTGATGCTGGCTCGGCTTGCAGCTGGATGGTGGGATTGTTGGGGTCATGGAATTACTTTAGTCTTTATCGGCATCGGAGACATTGTGGTGCCGTTTCAAGTTTCTTCTAGCAGAAAAAGTCTTGGTAAAGCACGGATTGCAGAGATTCGATTCGCCAGTTGCTGAAATCTTTCGGGGCCGAGAATCGGACAGATCGTGTCCCGTTATTCTAGTTCAATTCATTCAGAGACTCCAGTACTGAGGTCCAGAACCGGATTCATGCGGAAGGCATGAAAAAGAGTATGGGAAAGGAACAAGCCAATTCGCTTTTCGGTGGCTTGTATTCTGACTAACTGAGTTAAACCCAGCTTTTGGGTCGAGTTGCCCTTGGCTAAAGTTCTAACCCGCACTATTTCACCTGAACCGTGGGGGAACATGTCGCGCTGCTTGCAAGTCTGACAGGTACTGACCATGGGCAACTCGGCAAGACTCGCCAGAGTAGCCGCGAGTGCCGCATTGGAGGTCAAGGGGTCAAGACCATGCCACGCTATTCGTGGTTGTGAAATGACCTTCGACTTCAGTCCCGTTTACCTTGGTACTGCTTTTCGTGCTCTGCGGCGCTTTCCTGTGGCACACGTCCCTCAAGCACCTCAGCCTCGTCGTGCGTATATTCAACATTGATGCGAGGCCCTTTGAACCATTTCCGGGCACTGACCGCATAGTAGATGAGTGCAATCAACATCGTGCCACCATAGATGAGTGCCGTCCAGTTCATTGTCAATGGCGTAAGGTCTTTTCCTTTGACAGCAGGGAAGCATAGAGCTGGGACGATTACCAGCCACCATCCCACTGCAACAGCGCCCGAAAAGCTCGACCATCTGCCAAGATTCCAGGGACCTGTTTGACCGAAATGTTAGTGACACGACGTCGTACATCGGAACAAGCTCACCTGGCTTGAATTGGCCTTTGTCGAAAAACAGCTTCAACGCAGTTGGCGTCGTAAAGGCAGTATACTGGGCGATGGCGCCCAGACTGAATACAGCGCCAATCGCGACGGGACTTGCAAACATCAACAACCCGAGCAGGGCTGAAACGAACAGCACCCCCCAAGTAGCATAAACCGGTGTTCTGGTCTTGGGATGAATTTGTTTCCAATACCTCGAACCGACAATGGCGCCATCCCGAGAATAAGCAAAAATGACGCGGGTCGCAGTGATGGTGCAGCCCACGCCCACGAAGAATTGTGCCACGATGTTCAGGGCAAACATTGCCAGTCCTGCATCTTTTCCCAGGACTTGCAAGCACAAACTGCCGAAAGGCTGCCCATACTGGCCCGCGGTGACATCGGTAATGTCCTTGACGCAATATACCTAGTTCTGTCAGAAAAGATGTATCGGTAAAGACGGTGGTATATTGAAAGACTCGTGCTTGAATGACACAGTCTTTTACGGCGGGGGGGTACTTACGATGACGAGAATTATCGCGAAGCCGAGATAAAGCCCTAGCTGAGCTGTCATGACAATGGCTCTGGGACCTGATATGTTGGCATTGGAGCACTCTTCCGAGAGGTGAAATGGCGCATCATAACCAGACATGGTCCAGATCGAGGTCAAGAAACCCATGATCGTGGCCCAACCGATAGGCCATTCGGTGCCGTTCTCGAACTGGGTCCAGACGTCGTGACTGTTGTTGGTCTTGGGATGATTGATCGAGCCGACGGGAAACCAAATGACAAAAATCAAGATCACGATAACATTCCACACCGTCCCAATCTTGTTGACCCAACCGATGAACCAGGTGGACTGCATGGTGATTACTCCGTTGATGATGAGCAAAAGCAGCAGGACCAGGTAGGTATGCCACGTTTGGGGGGTGTAGTCTGGGTATTGGATCATGCCACATGTGATCAGCATTGATGCCAATGCGTAGTTGACTGAACATGGGCCGGTCACAAAGCCACAGAAGTTCGACCAGCCGACGAACCAGGAGGCGAGAGGTCTGTCAAGCGTTCAGCAGGTTGAACCCAGGATGCCACAATGAGGTACGAACCCCCAGCCTTCCGGCGCGAGAACAGCAGACGCATAGTAAAGCCCTCCGGCAGTTGGCATGCTGGAACATAGCTCGGCCATACTGAAGGCGGTGGCTTGAATGCATATGGAAGATGCTAGCCACCCCCATGCAGCACCGCCGGTCCCAGAGTATCCCAAGCTGTATGAAATCGTGGAGGCGACCGAGGGCAACAGGCCCAGGACGGAGAACGAAACCGAAAATGACTCCCAAATGGTGAAGTCTCTGCCTGGAAGTCAGCCTTCGGTTCGGGGCGCATTGAGAGAACGCACCTTTTGAATTCTTGCTTGTATCCCAAGGCACCCAGAACCATCTCATCTTGGGTGGCGCCCTCCTCGATCAATATATGGTCACCAGGTCTGCCAAGGACTGAAGTGACATTCTCATCCGCAGCTGTGATGGATGCTTTACGGGGAACTGCCATCTTTGCAACTCGGAGTCGAGCTTTGAGAAATGGAAAATAGCTTGCCTCGGAGGGAAGCGGCGGTCCTAGGACAGATATAAATACCTTTCAATACTCTCCAAGCTCCTGCAGCAATACGAGAGCACAGGATAAGGCCGTCATTCAGAGTGCCTTGGTCTGATAGCAGAGGCTGATGTCAACGGAGATGACCCCTTGAGGTGGTCATGATAGCCTCGATGCAACTAACCTCCGCAGAGCAAAAGATCGGTCCCAAGGAACATGGACGACCTGAAGGTTCGGACGGGTTGGAATTGGCACGGTCGAGGAACTTCTGCGATTGGCCATAACTGGTAGTGGCATTATACGCGACTCGCCTTATCAGCCGTTTGGGCCAATGCTGAGGCCTTGGTATGACTGTTGTGCTTTCCAAACCCGGTAGCATTCGCCAAATCCCAGAAAAACCCCGGTCTGATTCGCCCGAGGCTTCAGATAGCGACTCAGGGATTAGCGAGGGCTTGAAGCTAGCCAGGAACTTCGATCGTTTTGGAAGGTAGATGTGACGATTCGCAATCCCTTTATCAGCATTGATAAGACCTCCACGTGTATCCCACACGCGGCAAAAGACCGCGGCGCATGCCACGCATGCAGCATCGAGTAGACATGCAAGACAGGTAACGAGCGCATTGCCTAACGATCTGCCCAAGGTATTTCCTCGTCAAGGACTATTGCGAGTCGAGCATTGAAGTACAAGGCAGGCCTTATCCGATGCACCGTTGAGAAGTCTGTCGTGAGAAAGATGCGGGGTAGGATAGTCAAGACACGGCACGCGTAGCCTACCTAGACACAGAAGTCCCAAGTGCTCGGGTGGGATCCTGATACTGGATTGGGACAACGATGTAGTCGATGGTTAGGTGGGTAGGGTCCGCGGAGAGCAGTTCAGCGTCCATGTCTACCGCCATCTCTTTTCATGACCGTGCATTTCGTCCGAGTGCACAGTTCTGATCACATCGTTGGCTTCCTCGTCGTCTGTCGGCGCCTATCTCGCGGACTTCTTCGTTCCAGCAATCCCTGGAGGGGTCTTGAAGGGTGGCTAGTATACTATTGCGCGAAAACAGATTTATAAAAGAATCCATATAAGGGCGTGCTCGGCAGCAAAGGCGCTCCAGGGCCGCTTTTCGCCCTTGGATCAAATGCCGAGTTTCCTTTATTACCTGGTAGATAATAAATTATTGTGGTAGCCGGAGGTGAGATTCCAGAGTGCCTAAGCGAGGCACTTAAATTCTAGGTGGTAAGTATCGTAACCGCGATTATCTATAACTTTTTATTATCCTTGAGCGCTCATAGAAGATAAGTGCCGAGCAGGCCCTAAGACCACTTACTGGAGCAGCTTTATGTCGCTCTAGGAGTCCAACTCGCCTGCATCTCTGCGCATTCCGTGCGCGATGATACTCACGGGGAGAAAGACAGAGCATGACGTGAAATGGTCCAGACCAGCAGAGATGCGAGTCTGCTCATACACCAATGCTGTAACAAATTTGCAGCGTTGTGGTAGGCCATCCCACGTCAGTTTCGGGTGGGCTAAAGAGGCCACACCTAACTCGTACTTTTCTTGTAGAAGAGCAACTTTCCGCATGGCGTGATTGTACGGCTACGAGTGGTCGTACCTAGGTATGAGTGAGAATTGTCTGTCTGGGACAATGTTAGTAACGCAGGAGGCGAACGAGTGCGCATGCTTCCTGGAACAGCAGCTGAATGTGAAACAAGGAGAAGGAAAATTGTGAAACACTCGAGAGGCTGGACTCCGGAACAACGACTGGAGAAAACAAGGCTTTTGAAGCACAGTCAACGCGACTGCAGCCTCGATTGGATGTACCACAGTAAGACCCCAGTTCTCCTCACAACGAGTGTGCAGGTCATGGAAAAATCCGTGACTGGGAATGTTTTGGAAATGGCTCCATCTGGGCGGGAAGGACGCGACAACTCTCAGCCATTTGTTGCCAGCACAGCCTCGACATGACGTACTGTTGTCTCGCGCATGTACTTTGTATAGGGGGAAACTCCTCGTGCCCAGCGGACACCTTGCGTTGCGGTTCCATAGATAGAAGCACAGATAAATTGAAGATTGGCAGATCTTCTTGTCAAGTTTATCAGTGGCATGTGTGACATGAGATGAATCATTTCATCAGTGGCTGGTGGCCAGTGAGTTGGCACGGAGTACCGTAGATAGTGATTATCGATAAGCCAAAGGACGCATCTCGCCCAGCAACAAGACGGGAAGTTACTAGTACCAGGAACCCCGGTGGTTTTCAGGGGGTCAAATCAGCGCTCTAGGCTTGCTTCACCCCCCAGAGATGTCAAAATCGGGCACTGGTCTTCCCCTGTATTTCAGGTGGGCACAGGTGGATTTTGGTCTGCCCACTTTTTTCTTTGATGATGGCGGACTGGGAACCGCTACAACGCCTGCCTACGAGACGAGACGGGAAAGCCACAACTGCGTCAATGTTGGCTTTGCCATCGCACCCTCTCAGTCTCATGCTGCACACCCCGTTCCTGTCCATATTCTATGAAACGACAAGGAATTCAAGTGACTCTTTACGCGACCACCATTTGCTGCTCGTCGACGACTCATTGTATCATACCCCAGGCATACTCGCACCTCCTGCATTGCTTCCATCACACTTAGCGCAGTAAACAGCGATTGGTCTGCATAAACAATACCCTCAATCAGCCGCACGACGTTGCAAAAGCTACTCAGTTGCGATTCTTGACCTTTACAACGGTGGTCTGGACTCGGACTGTGTCGGTGCCTCACCATTTCAAGGTCGTACAGAAAGATACACTTCGATAAACACTCGCCGCAACAACTGCTTTCTCATGGCAACGACCGTGTAACCCGCCAAAATCCTCGATAGCCGCCGCTGCGGCGAAAACCACACCTCCTTCTCCCCATCATGGACGACATTCATCCTCAGATATGGGCTGTTGCCCATACGCTCGTCGCTCGCAACGATACGTCCAACTCGACTTCTACATCCTCCGACTCCAGTCGTCCGGCATCCTACAAGATCATCGGTCTAAGTCTTGCGGTGGCTTCGGGCTTGTTCATCGGCTCGTCTTTTGTGTTGAAAAAGATGGGGCTTCTCAAAGCCAATGCAAAGTACAATGAAGAGGCGGGCGAAGGCTACGGCTACCTCAAAAATGCGTGGTGGTGGAGCGGCATGACATTGATGATTGTGGGAGAAATATGCAATTTTGTCGCTTATGCGTTTGTCGATGCGATCCTAGTCACGCCTCTGGGTGCTCTGAGTGTGGTTGTCACGACGATTCTCTCGGCCGTCTTCCTCAAAGAGAGGCTCAGCTTCGTCGGGAAGGTGGGCTGTTTCAATTGCATCATCGGCAGCGTGGTCATCGTCCTCAACGCTCCAGAACAGAGCTCTGTGACTGACATTCAAGCGATGCAACATTTCGTCATTTCGCCCGGCTTCCTGAGCTATGCTGGAGTCATCATCGCTGCCTCTGCATTTACAGCTTTCTGGGTGGGTCCGCGATACGGAAAGAAGAGCATGCTCGTCTACCTGAGCATATGCAGCATGATCGGTGGACTCAGTGTCGTTGCCACTCAGGGGCTGGGAAGCGCAATTGTTGCTCAGGCAAACGGAGAAGCCCAGTTCAACCACTGGTTTCTCTACGTTCTGCTGGTCTTCGTTGTTACAACACTGCTAACCGAGATCATCTACCTGAATGTAAGTACAGACTAATCCTCACGCTTTGCCCACTTCTCACGTGTATTTACAGAAAGCGCTCAACCTCTTCAATGCCGCTTTGGTGACGCCAACCTACTATGTCTTCTTCACCAGCGCCACCATTGTGACGTCGGCCATACTTTTCCGAGGCTTCAAGGGAACCATCATCTCAATCATTACTGTCGTGATGGGTTTCTTCCAGATATGCGCGGGTGTCGTTCTGCTACAAATGTCTAAATCAGCCAAAGATGTTCCAGATGCAGCCGTCTTCAAAGGTGATCTCGACCAAGTCCGCGAGATTGCCGAGGTCGAACAACCAGAAACTGAGCCCAAGGCCGATGCTATTCGTGGCGCCGCTGCACTGGTCAGGAGGTTTTCTACCTCGCGCCAGAAGTGGGAGCAAGAAGAAGCAAGACGGCTGCGCGAAGATAAGATGAAAGACCAACTAGAGCCAGTACGGGAGAACGAGATTGTGGAATGGGACGGGCTTCGCCGCAGGAAAACAGTCATTGGAGAGCCTGGCTCGCCGCTCGTCCGCCGAAAGACAGTGCATCCGCCTTTGGGCATGTCGCGTATGCCAGACTCGAACGAGGATGAGGAGCAAACCCCAGGACCCGGGTTTTTTGAGAACCTGCGCAGTCGTGCACAGACTTCCATTCGCACTACGACGCCGCTCCATTCAGACGACATGCACGGAAACGGTTTGAACAGCCCCCTACACCCGGTGGCTTTGACGGAGATCAAGTTTCACCCGTCTCAAATCGAGTCACCCATCGTTCCCTATGGTCCAGGCAGCCTGGAAGACGCTCAAGAGCGGATCTACGGTCTCGCCCCGGGGGAGCGCAAAGTGCAAGATAAACACGCCGGGACTGTGGGCACCCAGCCTTTGACACCGCGGTCGAAACCACTGCCGGCCAAACCTGCTCCTTCGCCCATCCTGAGACCTCCTCAAGAGGCAAGGCGGCAGTTCTCCTTTACGAACTTCCTCAGGCCGGGCTCTCGTACGCCAAGCAACGACCAGGCAACATCGCGACCTGTCCTTCAGACCAGACCCAGCAGTGCCAGCCATGAGCAAAAGCGAGGGAACAAGACTGCCACGGAGGAAGAGAGATTGGGACTTGTCAAGGGTGATTCTCACATTGGTTTGCTTCAAGATCAATTATCTCACTCCCCCGAACGCCCACACCCGTCCACTTCTCAACCCCATCCACTTTCTCAGTCCAGCTCCACCACCAGTGTCGATGACTACTATCGATATCAATATCCTTCTCCTATTCGACCTTCCCTGTCAGATTCTGACGAGGATGATGATTGGCAGATGACGAACTCGACAACCCCAGCTCGACCATTGGAAGTGACCTCGAACCCACCGAATCCCCCGCCAGCTTTGCGGACAACAAGCAGCCGGCGAAGACCGAGTCCACCGAGGGTCTATCAACCACCGTCAGTCATGACGAACACGCCTCCCCGGCTAACCGTCGAGCCGCCGCTACCGGTACCGGGCACGATGGTGGGCGGAGGATTGGCACAGGGCAGAGCCGTTCCAGCAGCGTCCGACCATTTCCAGATTTCGTCGACGAGGGACCGGCCAACCAGGAAGCCGGTCCAGAGTCCTGGTTCCAACCAGGTAGATATCGTGCCTCACCAAGTTCGAGTTTTAGAGGACCCAGTCGCGGATGAAAGTAGATTTGGCCCAGCCACTGGTGCGACGGCTCGGACTGAGAGCCCGGAGAACTACGACTCCAGCCGAAAACGCTACGAAGAACAGAGCAAAAGAGAAAGAGAAGAACGAAGACTGAGAGCCCAAGGGCGGCGACAGAGTTGGAAGCCCACCGACCCCGACAACGGTAGTTTTCTCTGATGATTCCACCATGATTGATTGTACATATACGCGGTGTCTATCAGCGTTGAGATACCCATGACTGCGACGAATCGTTTATGGAGCACACGACTTTTAGAGAGCAACGACCAGCTCATGTTATTATATAGTGTATCATTTCAGCCGTGTCGAAATCTCGAGCAGATGACTTGCAGCAAAAAAGACCTCTGCGACCTCGACTTGATGTCTCTTTCGTCCGTACCAAGGACGGAGATAACGAAGGTGACGCTGCGCTGCGTGTGATAAACTTTTTTAAGGCCCCGAATTCGCGAATCGGTCCTGAATTGTTCCGAGCATCCGTGCTGCGTAGAGCCTTGGGGGTTGAGAAAGGTCAACTACCTCTTCGTCAGCGCTTCTCAATGGACTCATTGTCAGCATGTTCTATCGGAAGGCGACGGGAGACTCATTGTGTCTGCTCGCGTTCTTCAGCATCCACTCTTAGCGAAAATGGCTGAATCACCAGCATCCGACACTTCCCAAGAGTCCGCAGACGACTCCAACGCGCAAACAGCGGCCGCGAAAGCAGCTGCGACGGCCAAGGACAAAGAATGCCCGTACTGTCATCAGCACTTTACCTCCTCGTCGCTGGGTCGTCACCTTGATCAGTTCATCTCCAAGAAAAGACCAGACGGTATACACGATGTCGACGAGATCCGGAGGATGCGAGGAGGAATTACACGGCGTACGGCCAGAGGGTCTCGAAAAGACAACAGGAAGGAACGCGGCGATACAGTGTCATCACGCACGTCTCCGGAACCGGGAAGTCAAGTAGATATCATACCATCCAACATCAGCGACCTGAATCGGGGACCTCCCGGTGGGGTGCATATGCGACTCAACCGGTTGAATTGGCAGGCGACGGGCGTCATTACCGATCCAACGACACTCGATTCACCTGTGGCTGCGCTTCCTCCAACGCCGGCCCTCGTCTCGAGCCCATCCGGCACAAAGCGCAGTTTCTCGACGTATGCGCAGGACGGCAATCCTAGTACGCAGACTGGCGAGACGACGCGCGCCCTCGAACTCGCTCTGCGCGAAGTCCTCGACTCCCTACGAGCGGCGACGAAGCACGCATCACCCAAGCCCACACCCTTCAAATTCGATGTCCAATCGCAGACATATCCCTCTCTATGCCTCAAAGTCCTGCCTGCGCCGGCCACTCTATTCCAGGCATCTCCTTTCTCCACGCCGCAGTCCATACCCATCTCGCCGCCTGGGCCTGAACAGCTACAGCCGCTGCGGCACAAACTGATTCAGACGATCGACTATTGGAAATGGCAGGCACTGCGACTTGCACAGCCAACAACCTCAAACATTGCCGAAGAAGCCGAATTTCTCACCCGCACCGCTGCCCAGTGGAGCGAATCGACCCTTAGCCATCTTGACGCATGCTACCAGAATTGGATGGTGCATCCCCCCGAAGTCCGTAACCTGCTCTGGCAGGTCGAGTTGTTGAGGTCGTACAAAACGGAGCAGGAAAAAGTGGTGGAGATGGAGGAGAAGCTCGAGTCCTTACAGCAAGAAGCCAACCAGTTGCAACAACAGGTGGAATATCTGTCTCGGTGCCAGTGGCCCCGCGAAATGGCGCTGTGGCCGCCCGAGCGCAGGGCGTTCGGTCCTTCGATGCGAGAAGAACTCCGTCTGATCAACCTGAGCAAAGTACCGGGCGCGGAAGGCGCCGACGAAGTGGCGTCCCTCGCGGACAATGTGAACACACGAGGCGACAAGTGGGACTTTGAAAAGCTGGTGAATAAATGGAAGACGCATCTTCGAGAAGACAAGACCAGGCGCATACCACAAACTCAACCTCATGGGGAAGGCGGAGCCACCAAAGTCGCGGAACTGAAAAAGTCACAGAGTGAGCCTGGCGTGAATGGGTTGGCTAATGGGCAGTCACCCATCAGCGAGGAACAACGGCGCAAGAGCATGAGGAACCAAAAAGGCAATATCAGCATAATATCCGACTTATGAGACAATGGCACATGGTTTCAAATGGTTGAAAAGAATCAATTGTCTCCTTGCAGACCTATGATCATGTAATTATGTCCCTGCCCAGATAAATCCCGGGGCCGGTTTGCATACCACCAACCCAAACAAATGTCCTTTTTCCCAAGAAGTGTAATACCGTGTATCTAAACGCTCATTCAATTGCTTTCGTTCCGTCATGTCGTTAGATCAAAACCAAGAATCGCCCTCATCTTCCAGCCGGAGCAGGCCAGACACTGATCTCCCAATCGAAAGATCCGTCGCCGGAGGGATGTTCTTCTCGTCGTCCAGTTGAAACCGGACAGTGCGCGTCACTCTTCTTCTTCGTCCAGGCTCTTTTCCCTCTTCGCAAATAGGCTGACTCTGTTCTGAATAGCATAGATTGCGTATCCCACCAGCGCCAGGACTACAAACAAGGCGATCACGATGATCGCGATCACATAGTTCGACTGTAGACCCATGACTTGAGGATTCTGTGAGAGTTCGGGTGGCTAGACAAGAGGCCGAGGAGGACTGTGCTCGCGTGTGGCTGACCCTGCGATGAGCGACGGGTACGGAAGTCTCGAGGGGTGACGGTGCACTCCGAGCACGTTTGTGAGTCGAGTAGGACAGTGTTCGGAACCGTATGGGAGGTGGAGGACTCAACCCAGGGCCGGAAAGAAGGCAAGAACTGTCTGGGAGTTCTCTGATTCGTATGGGATGTGACCGAGTGCTTCGTGGGGAAAGGTCTCGAGATGATCGTGAGGAGGTGGGTTCCAAAGCAAACGCAAAGCTTCCGTGCGCTTGGGTAGCAATCTTGATTGCTTGGAGGGCTTGAAAGGCTCCGTGCCTTTGATGTCAAAGTAAAGGGATGATTGAGAGTGGCTTCAAGTTCAGACACGAGGACGAGCGGTGTGCCTTGTGGTGTTAGCTTTCGTGGTGAAGATTGATTGGATATGAGATGGCAATTGTGAATGAAACTGTCAGATGGAATGTTAGCAAGACTGTGCACGTAGAAGCAGTACATGTAGGATTGAGCAGATTGCAAGCCCAGCCTCGTTGCTTGGGCCGATGCAATGGCTGGTGGCAATGGTCGGGCGTGGTGGCAGGATCAGGTTGTGGAGGAGTTGATGAAAACACTTGCGGACGAGGCTGGGAAAATGACCCTGGAAGATGAAAATTATTCTGTCTGACGACGTAAAAAGCACTTTAATGGCACAGATCGTGAGTCAGACATCTCTGACGCTAGTCCATGATCGGCTAGGCTACCACCTGCAAGGCTGGGAATGACGGCCCTGCCAAAGAGGACGACAGGGTTCAGTTGCAACCACATCACCACCAGCAGAGAAGACAATATGAGCAAACAGGAGTCTGGCGACGTGATAGGCATGTTCCTTACCTGTTGGCAAAGAACCTATCCTGCCATGCACGCAGAAGTCGAACCGCGCTAAGCCTAACGCATAGGTCTGGTAACAATGCTGAATGCGGTCTCGTCAAGTTTGATTTCTTAGAGAAAACCCCATGCACGAAGTCCCCATCAACCCTTCATGTCAAACGAAGTGTTCCACTGTGGCCGTGTAATAACATGCATATGTCATACGCAGCTGGAGTATTACTTACCTCATCAACTCCTGGACCGCCGCATTGTGTCTGCTTCTACTAAACACTGTTTCGGTGAGATGTTTAGGAATGCAAACATGCTTACCTGCGCTTTGTTGAGATTGTTGGCCTTTGTGCCGCTTATAGACTGTCCGAACAAAGACGGGCCATCTGTCTGCGTGTGATGTTGACGCGATGAGTGCTTGTCCGACAAAGAACCACAATCGTCAAGCTAGTCCCATTGATACAAGATGGCCCGTAGCTGCAGGATCTTCCACGCTTTGGAAGAACCCCGGGGTGCTCCAATAACAGTCTTGCATGATGTTGTCCCGCGTTTCAGACGGCGACGAGGTTCCAGCTCCACAGATTGATACATCTTCCTACGTCAGTTTCGCAGCAGATGAGAACGTGCGGTCGCCGAGAACACCTACCTATGTTCCAGAATCGTCCTTACCGGAATTTATCATGCCGTCCAGTCACAGCGAGCCGTTCCTGAACACCAAGGGGGAATCCAAGAACAAGAGGTTGCCAGCACCACCACCTGAAGAGCCTTTGGCCTGGGTGTGGATATGTCACCTTTGCCACTCGCGGTACCCGCTCGGAGTAACTCGACGCTGTCTGGTCGATGGTCATTATTACTGCTCGGGGGAGACCGATCGTCCAAGTACCCGGAAGAAGCGAAAGAACAAGAGCTGCTCCAGCGAATTCGACTATGTCACGTGGAAGGCGTGGGGAGACTGGCGTCGGAAAGCCCTCAAAGTGGTTCAGAATCCCAAGGCCCTGAAAGGTTGCGATAGCTGTGACTTCCCAAGTCAATGTCGGTATCCAGCTGAATCTCACCCGATTGCCGAAACAAAGGCGACAAAAGTTGAAGATGAACCAATTTCTCACGCAGAAAAGGAAGAGGACAAGAAGAAGAGCAATTTGGCCACAGCGAACAAGAACATCGACTTCGACAAAATACTCAGCAGCATCTTTTCCAATGATGGCGAGGAGATATCCAAAAGGTCCTCCGGCGACAGTTCGACCACTTCACGAAAAAAGAATGGTTCGAAGAAGAAGAGCTCTCAGAAGGAACTCCTCCCGACACTTGAGGAAGAGATGACGATGGATGCGGCAAGGTTGCGTGAATTGATCGACATTAACCTCTGGACAGATCTGGACGATGTTGAACTCGAGAAGGTTAAGGCCGAATGATGACGGCTTATTTTCTACTTCACCCTATTTGCCAATCAGTCCACCGACATACTCTGCAATAGCAAGCATTTTCTCCTCGGTGTATCTTCTCCCCACAATCTGTACACTAACATGCGCCCCTTCGTATATTTCCGCATCGTAACTTTCATACACTTTCTTGTCCTCGTCGTTGATGGGCTTGTATCCCTCCGCATACTGGTCTTTGGTTTTGTCCGACGTGGTGACTGGTACGACAACACTTGTGTAGTCCAGCCCATTGACGAAGACGCTATATCCATAGTAAGAATACTTCTCCGGTCTTGCTGCAGGGAAAGGCGCAACAGGGCAGATGACCCCGTCGACTGGTTTGCCAGTACCTGTCTCCTGAGCAGTGCTGTTCCAGTAATCCATGTACTCCTTTTGAAAGCTTCGCTTGTCCCTATTGTTGGCGGATATTTCGGAGGCCGTGAACTCTTTGATAGGTTTCTCGCCATACGCCGATTTGATCTGCATTGACAAAGGCTCCCCTGACAGGCCAAATGCCTCGTGCACGTCTTTTCCGCCATCATAAACCCAGGTCTTGAGTGCAATCTCTAGCAGTCTTTCATGGGATGGTGGCTTCCACTCGATGACCTTGTGGCCTGCGCTGGTCAGGGCTTCAACAACCATCGCTACTGCTCGTGTGACGGGAGGCTGTGGGTTCACAATGCCGTCTGATTTCATTACCGCAAAGGTTAGCTGCCCTTTAGAAGACGAGGACTTGACTATATCGTAGACAGCCTGTTCCTCGGCGTCTCGCCAGGGCATGTGAACGACTAGAGGGTCGTGCAGCCATGGCGTCTGCGCCAGGATGGATTTGGTGAGCAGTTTGACAGATCGGGCAGTGGTGGCGAGGGGTCCAACAACCGATAGTACGCTGTTTTGGCCGTCCATGCTGTTTGCCATGCCTTCGTACGGCAACCTTCCGGACGTGGGCCGGATCCCGAAGAGACCATTGAATGCTGCTGGGATACGGATCGAGCCTCCAATATCCGTGCCGAAGCCACCGGGAGAGCCCTTCAAACCGATGAGAGCTCCCTCGCCGCCAGAGCTGCCACCGGAGCAAATGTATCGGTTCTTCGGATTCCAAGTATAGCCGATAATGTTGTTGACGGTCTCGCCACTCATGAGAGTATGCGGGACACTAGTCTTGCAGTATAGTACAGCTCCCAAACTCCTTAGCTCCTTCACCATCTCGCTTTCGTAAGTTCCCTTGCGGGGATCATCTTTGATGCCTTCGAAAGTTCCGATCCAGCCGACGTAACCCATCGTTGTCTCGACATCTTTTACATGGAATTGATCTTTCAGTGAGACGGGCACTCCATGAAGTGGACCAATGGTCTTCTTGTGTTGCGCATAGTAGTCGTCAAGTTCTTTGGCGGAAGCAATAGCTGCGTCAAAGAAGGTCTCGTGAAGGCAATTGACCAGTTGATGGGCCAGTGAAGCTCGATGGCAGAATGCCTCGGTCACAGATACTGCAGACCAGGTGCCAGCGGCGACCTTCTCAGCAATCCCCACGGCGTCGGTTTCGGTGATCTCAACCTCTTTCTCGTCGAGAAATTGTTGGATGTAAGGACCAGTGACATCCTTCTGCTCCTCGGCAGAAGGTATCTTTTGGAGTCGCCATTTCTCAGGGATCGACTTCAGTATTGCTTCTCTTTTAGCTTCCGCTCGGGACTGCCAGTCGGTGACCATTCCGGCTCTTGTTAATCTCGATAGTCAAGGAGTCCAAATTAATAATCTTGATGTTCTCAAGAGCCGCGACATGAGTTCTTAGAGATATGAACTGAAGAAGTGGTGACATTGCCCCTCCCAAGAAAATTGACGGAATGTTTATTGAGTTTGAGTGGGGGAGCTCCTGAGTCGCGCATCTCCATTGTCGATAAGTCGGCCATATACTCCGTATATCTCCTGCCTGTCTCGGAACGGTGCAACAGCGTTTATTATAGCAGACCCAGTATCGTGGTAACCTACCATATTCATCAAGGATTCTGGGCGGATGGATATGACTCTTGCATCTGTCGGACATTGAGATTGATGCGTTTGTTCCTCATCCATCCCTGCCAGACCTGGTATTTTGAGCCATGCGGAATGTTTGGCCAATCTTGCAACCAAACCGGACATGTATCTGACAAGATCTTGGGCACTGCATGCCAGGCGAATCTCGATTCTCCTGACATGACTACAGCGTCGCCCGACCTCAAACGTACTGTAGCTGTTTCGCTGCCGTCCTCGTTACCAACGATGAAGACCGCATCACAGCCGATGCTGATGCTGATCAAGTCCCTCTGACATTCCTCGCTAACATCTTTGTGTACACTCAGAGTGTCGCCAGGACTGTAAAAGTTGAGAATGGCAGCTTGGGCATCGACTTTGGGAAATAGATCTTTCAAAAGCGCAGCGATATCGGGAGGAAAGGCTGGGGGAACCTCGTCAGGATAGACTTTGTTCGTCCAATCGTATTGCCCTCCAAGTGTTGTCCATCGTAACTTTGACTCAAGCATTTGAGCAATGGTAATGGGCTTATGAATTGCTGGATCCTTGGGTGTCAGGAGAGATGTTGTGTCGACACCAAAGAACGAACAGTCGGCGGCGACTTCTTCGTGTTTCTCTCTTCCATCCTGAGAGACAGGATAGGAAATGTCGTAGTGAAGATGGAGATTAGTCTTGTGTGCTGGGTTGTTGAGATCACGGTGCAGAAGTTTCTCTAGCAAGGCAATCTGCATACGAGGACTGAGAAGAGAAGGCAGAACGTATAGACCTACATGCCATTAGACGCTCAGACGAAATCAGCAATAAGCGTAGCATACCAGGTAACGCGTTGACCTCGAAACCATCGTTGGGAGCTTCAACGACAGGCGCAAGGGATAGGTCATATCCCAACACGTCGTTGGCATATATGCGCTCGAGGCACTTAATTTCGCCATGCTGGAACTGTGTCGGAGGAGACAGGAGTGATGTGGAATCCGCGCCTGGCCTTTGTGGATCGATGATCCCATGTTCAGCATCTATCGAAGCAAGACATTGCTTCCGACGCTGCTTGAAGAGCTCCCGCAGGGCATCGGGAGGCCTTGCATGAGCATCATGCACCATAGTCACCGCGGACGGCGTTGTTCATAAAAAGCGCTGAGTGAAATTGGTTCTGGCTGTAATCAAGTACGGTTGGAGTTTTTCTGAAGCGAATATTTTATTATATTTATCCTGACCGCCACATGCTTTGGGGGTATGCACTATGGAATCTCAAGAGGCGAAAGAGCCCGACCTGTGGGAGTAATACATATGTGTTCTCGAATGAAAGGGAATGACCTCCGCAGGATGCCACAGACGACAAGGTAGATCAATGCTAGAGGAGTTATTTTTCTTTCCAGCATTTGTTTCCAGGTGTGTACAGGTAGGTGACGGTGAGGATACTGTATCTCGGTACAACATCGGAGCGGCCTGAGACCTGTGAATGAGGCTGACTGCGAGAAGGCCTGACAACAATTAGAAGTCTCTCGTCTCTCGTCTCTCGTATTCTCATGATATGGACGTGTCACCATTGGACTCTTGCTGCTGGCATTTTCTAAATGAACGTCTCTAAGCTTGTGGCAATCTTGCCATCGGCTTCCGAACTTCGTGCAAGACATGGCTTCGGGTGATGATAGAGACTATGCGCAGAATCCCAGAGCCAGTGTGAGTGAACTTGCAAGTTGATCTTGACTCGCATCGCTGACTTGGTTCCAATACAGCTGCGCTATTCATCTTACATCGATCCATCCACGGGCGCAAGGCTAAGCAGGACATTCACCTTACACAGTTTGGACAATGATAGCGACGAAGATGAACGACATGATGCTAGCGAGACGGCTCCCCTCCTCCAACCATCGCATGCATCTCACCAGAACGGCGGGTCATCATGGCAGAAGAGGTTGAAGATCAAGAGTAAGGAATATGCTGGGAATGTTTGGGACTTCTTACGGTCAGACACGGGTAAAGGAATCTTCAAATTCGCACTGGCATACCTCTTGGGCAGTCTGGCGACCTTTGTTCATCCATTGAGCCACCTCTTTGGTCGGCAGAATTCGAAGCACATGGTTGCCACGATCACAGTCTACTTTCATCCGGCGAGATCACTCGGGAGCATGCTCGATGCTTTTTTTCTCGCTACGACGGCCTTCCTCTACACTGCCGTGATCTCTTTATTGAGTATGAGTGTCGCTGCATTCTTTTCCGATGTCGTCCATCTGATCGAGCTGGGGCACGCTATCGTATTGATCGTCTTCCTGGGTGGAGGCCTGTCTTTCGTGGCGTGGGTCAAGCTGAGGAAGAACGATCCTCTGGTAAACATCGCATGTTCCCTGGCGTCACTCGGTATCATTACGATTCTCACCAAAGAAGGAGCTATTCAGGCTGGAGATTACTCAGTAAAGACAATCACGCAGATTCTCAAAATGATCGTCGCCGGAGTGATCGTAACGACTCTGGTCTCAATCCTGATATTCCCTATCTCCGCCCGAGCAAAGCTGAAGAAAATTCTCCTTGATTTGACCGACTCGCAATCTGATATGCTTGCACTGATCACAAGTAGCTTTCTATCTGGAGACGAAACAGAGTTGGAAAACAGCGTTATTGTTGGGATCAACGAGCGGCACAAGAAACTCTCATCTACGGTAGCCCAGAACTTGAAGGAGTCTAAATACGAGCACTACCTGTTGGGTACGGAGCGGCAAGCATTCATCGAGACAAGGCTAGGACTCTGCACTCAACGCATTTCTCAAAGTATAGGCGGCCTGAGGAGCGCTGCAGCTATGCAATTTGTTGTCATCAAAGAGCCGGCATTTGGCTCAGGAGCACGCTTCGAAGGTATTGGCAACACCACGCCTCTCTGGATGAACTCACTTCAAGGCTCCAAGACTGTTGATGATGATCAAAGTGCTTCTCCTGCCGACGGTTCACACAAGGACTTGTCCGAACCAGTCCGCTCACCTGCTCAGATCTTCGAGCTGTTCATTCAGAATATGGGTCCTGCGATGCGGTCGCTAGCTTTCACGCTGAAGGAGATCCTGGAACATTACCCATTTGATGCTTCCCGGAATTACGCGGTCATGGCCAATCCAAAATTCAAAATCAGCCTCGAACGTGCTTTGGACCTGTACAAGAACAGCCGCCAGAAGTCCATCGCTGCTCTTTATGGGCGGAAAGATATGGATCGTTCGCGACCATTTACAGTCCAAGCCGACTGGGAAGATGCTGCAGCATGCTGCGGACATTTCTCCTTCTCACTCGTACAGGTGGCTGAGGCTATCAAAGAGTATCTGGTCATCCTTGACGAGTTGCAATTGGAGGTGAACGAGCTGCCTGCTGGTCGAACCTGGCATTGGATGAAGTTCTGGCGGTCGATCAAGATGGAGGACGAATTCCACAGCCTTGATCCTGACTTTGCGGAAATCGTGAAGAGAAGCGGCGAATTGGACCTCCATTTCACGAGCAGGCCTATCAAGGGGGCTCGCCAACAGGAGATCTCAATGTGGCCTGATCGTTCTCGCGTCAAGCAGGTGTTCTTTCAGAAAATATACGAAATCTCCTCCTTCCTGGGCCGCGATGACATCAAGTTTTCTCTCAAAGTAGGCTTTGGAGCTATACTGTACGCTTTACCCAGCTTCGTGCCTTCAACGCGTCCCATCTACTCACACTGGCGAGGCGAATGGGGTTTGTTGTCTTACATGCTTGTGTGCAGTATGACAATAGGTGCATCGAATACCACCGGCTTTTCGAGAATACAGGGTACATGCCTTGGGGCTGCTATAGCCGTGGCTGCATGGGAAGTGTCGAACGAGAACCCTTTCGTCCTAGGTTTCATCGGCTTCATCATGGCATTATGGACAGCATACATCATCATCGGCATGGGCAAAGGCCCCATGGGACGCTTTATTCTCCTGACCTATAATCTCAGTGCACTATACGCGTACAGTCTTTCTGCTCAGGACGACGATGATGGTGGAGACGAAGAGGACTCGCGAAACAATCCTTACATTGTCCAAATTGCCGGACATCGCGTCGTAGCGGTGATTTCTGGCACCATCTGGGGCCTGATCGTTACTCGGCTTATTTGGCCAATATCCGCCCGACAGAAACTCAAAGATGGCCTCTCGCTGATATGGCTGCGTATGGGACTGATCTGGAAGAGAGATCCGTTGGCTACTCTCATCGATGGCGTCCATCCTGACCGGTACATGAATCTGCGCGAAGAGTTCTATCTTCAGAAATTCCTAGGTAAGCTTCAAGGTCTGGCTGAAGCATCGAAAAGCGAATTCGAGTTCAAGAGACAATTCCCGCATGCGACATACGCTCGGATCCTCAAAAAGACAGCAGAAATGCTGGATGCTTTCCATGCTATGAACGAGGTCATTATGCAGGATCCCAATGCATCGCCTGGAGAAGAAGCACTGCTCAAAGCCACAGCTATTGAGCGAGCGCAGCTCTGCGGGAGGATCAGTCACTTGTTCAGCGTTCTTGCCAGTTCGATGAAATTGGAATACTCGATCCCCAGCGATGATCTGCCAAGTATAGAGCATACCAGGGACAGATTGCTGGCCAAAGTCTTTGCCTATCGCTGGAATGACGCGCAGGAGCAGAAAAGCCGAGACGAGGATTATAGTCTGCTGTACACATATGCTCTGGTCACTGGACAACTCAACCTTGGGATACAGGGTGTGTTGAGGGAGGTTGAGGAGCTGTTTGGTATCGTGGACGAGGAGGCTCTCAGGCTTGAATGAAAGAATCCACCGAGGCAGCGATCGATCACTAACAGCCAAAAATAGGGTTCTTTGCTTGTTGCCTGTGTGTCACTTTATTTGGTTCGCTTTCGTGACACAACCATGTACGGAGTACATCTCTAGCAAATGCTCGACAGTCGTGGAACCGGCCCCTACGCCCCCCCATACGGGCTTTCTGCTCGCGTTTTGCTACGTTAATGCATGTCGATATCAGGGCTTGCATCACTTGGATTACCCTTCTTCGTTGGGTGATACGAGGCTGGGGCTAGGGCATGGGTGCGAATCTACTGTAATGACCCGCGGCCACAGCCCGGCAGGTGCCTGCGCCCAGAAATCAAACGCAGTGGAAACGCGTCATGCCAATGCCAATGCCAATGCCGAACGCCCCGGGCTCCGGGCTCCGGGTTGCCTTTAAACGCCTAACTTACGCCTAGAGCCTCGTGACTGCCATGCCATACAGTAAGGCCGTGCACTTTTACAGCGGGGAGGTAAGACTGCGTTGCCCCGTGGCTGTGTTCGCGCGGACAATCCTTACAAACATAAATGATTCCAGGCACCATGTGGTCGACCTGGTTGTTGGACGTCGTGGTGGTATCAAAAGAATATGAAATCTTTCTCAGTGTCTTAGGTCTCGCTTTAGTGTCAGCGAATGCTTGTGACTCGGAAGTCTTGAAGTACTAACGTTAATCCTATTTGAACGAACTCAGAAACAGAAGAGCGAAAATGCTGGATGAGAATCTCCCGAGTTCGTATCTCTCTCAGACCGTCGTACGCCTTGCTAACGTCTGCAGCGTTCGTACTCGACCCCTCGAAGGACAAGCCGAAACAGCAGTCAACTTTTCTCTTCTCTCAGCACGGCGCCAATTTCGAGCCCGCGTACACCTTACGCCAACTCGACCCAGAGCAGCATGCGTCGAGGAATAGATATGCTGCTGCCATCTACGATGCCTTCAACCCTGATGTCCTTTACGCGGAGGTCCTCCTCATTCCATCGTGGACACAACCACCCCCGATCTCCGAGCAGGCCAGGTTAAACGGCGCAGTTCCACCACCTCCTGAGCCTAACCTGCCCACCGAATTCACTATTCAACTGTACAATCCTGACCAGCAGATCAAGGTGACGCATAGACCAGCAACTTGGAATACCGCGGCTTCTTGGGAGTTTGAAATACCTCAGCAGACCTTTCGAGCACCATCTTGGTCGGCACTGGATCGAGGTCAGCATGATCCGGCCGCGTCCGAGATCACGCCCAAGATTGCATTCAGGTGGAAGAAGGACAGCAAATTCTCAAAAGATCTCGCATGCTTCCTCTCAGGCAGGAGCACAGACGTCGTACGCAAGTCGAGAAGCAAGGAGCCGGACATTACAGTGTCAATATTCAAAGGTCTGAAAGAAGTCACCCTGTACGAGCCAAACCTGCAAAGAGTCGAGGTAGAGGACCTGAAAGGGTTTGAAGTGGTCCTACTACTGGGAGCTGTGGTCATTCGGGACGTGTATTTCGGTCACCTCAAGGAGACATTCAACATTTCCACAATCGGGGGAAAACTGAACCCGACAAGTCCCACCACCGCCGCTGCTGCTCTGGCTTCTGACCTGCGCCCTCAGTCATCGTCACCAGGCCAGCTCGCAGGTTCAGCACAGCCGGGTCCCGTACGCGATCCCCGTGTGCCTCCCACTGATCCGCGAAGTCAGTGGGAAATTGATGCGCAGACAGCCCTATTACAGAGACAATATGCAGAGGAAGAGCGAGCGAGGCGAATTCGGGAAGAAGAGGCAGAGCAACAGACCAGGAAGCTACTAGAAGCTGAGGAAGCGGAACGACGAAGGCGGCAGCAAGCCCAGATTGACCAAGAGACTGAACGTCTCAAACAGTTGTATGGCCAAGAAGACTTCAACGCCCGCCCCAATCTGCCTCCACGAGTCCCTCACCAGCAAAGACATCACTCTGAGTCGACACAGTCGGCATATGCACAGTCTCAGCAGGCACACTATCCAACAATACCGTCTACGACTTCATGGGGTGGTTATTCTGCCGGCGGTCCGAGCAGCGGACCCTACATGTCAGGCGCCGCTGCTTCGCAGTCGAGTTTCCTCGCTCCCCATCCTGCTTCAAACCAGACTTTGAAACAGAAAACAAGCATATTCAATTTCCGCCGACGCAGCGACCATGATTCGAATAATAGGCTGCAGAGAAAGCGAAGTGCCGTTTTCTGATTTTATCCGACCTTCCTCTTTAGTGAGTGACTGCCGCGTGCCATTCGGCTAAAGGCCGATCAAGGCCGTGTCGCATCGAATATGTCATCATTGTGACGAGCTTCGAAACACACATCTATTCTTGACCATATTGTCACATTCTCTATGCGTACTACGTTTACTCGGACCATTGAAATATTCAAACGTACACAAGCGAACATGGCAGGCTCCCTAGGCAAACGTATCGTCTTTACCGGCGGGTCAGGCAAGGCCGGTCGACACTGCATCCCATATCTCCTTGAGAAGGGGCATCAAGTCCTCAATTTGGATCTCATCGATTTCCCAAAAGACCATATTCCCGCCGGGAAAAGTGTTTACACCATGAAATGTGACCTGACCGACGGAGCTCAAACGTTCAATGCTTTGTCCTCACTCTTTTCCATGGACGAATATGAGCTGCCGAAACACCCTGGCCCGCCAGACGCTGTCATCCATTTCGCAGCGTATGCTCGTAATATGATTGTGCCCGATAGCGAGACCTTTCGCGGCAATGTCATGAGTACCTACAATGTGATTGAGTCTGCCTGCAAACTCGGCGTGAAAAAGATCGTCATTGCCAGCAGCGAGACAACGTATGGTGTATGCTTCACCCAAGGAGACGACGATTACCATTCATTTCCCTTGGATGAGGAAACCTATGATCGGAACCCAATGGACACCTATGCTTGCTCCAAGCTGACTGGAGAGCGTATTGCCCGCAGTTTTTCTCGCCGCTTCAATAACGACATCTATGCATTGGTCATCGGCAATGTCATTGAACCGCACGAGTACGAGAGAGATTTTCCACGCCATGTGGGACAACCCGATACGAGAAAGAGGAATGCTTGGAGTTACATTGACGCCAGGGATCTTGGGCAAATATGCGACTTGTGCGTCGCAAAATCTGGATTGGGATTCCAGGTATTCAACGCCACGAACGATACTATCACCACAACCACTCCCACGGAGCAGTTTTTGAAAGAAACATGCCCCGACACGCCAATCACCAGGAAGATGGGCGAATTTGAGGCGCCTCTGTCGAACAAGAAGATACGAGACGTACTGGGATACAAGGATGTTCACGACTGGCGCAAGTATTACACTCACAAAGAATGAGTTACTTTTATATGACAACGGAGGGGATCGGACGAGCTGGACAACAAAAGGTGTTCGACGGGTTGTAAGGACTGGCAATATCTGCTGGAAAAAGCCTTGCTTGGTAGATTCCATAGGCGGGAAGGCGCCCCGAGCCGCAAGATCCAGTGGAAGTGTCGTTGTTGACGGCCAAAACATTGAAGTAAGCAACAGGAGGTCATCTCGAACAATGTGAATACCACCGTGCAAGACAATTCTTGGTTCATGTACTCGTAGTTTATGGTAATATCGAGAAATCGTTGCAGCAGTGTATGAGTTTCGTCGGTGATTCTTCACGTACATGTACATTGTATTGCGCCGTGCAACTGTGGCCAGGTAGTGACCACCGAATATCTGTTTAGGTTCCCCAGCCACTCAAAACTCAGGACGCGACGGTGAAAAGGACCATTGCCAGCAAAGCACACCGATCCATACAACCTTGCGCACAACATCCCCACGAAGACAATGTCGCTTATCTGATCGCCTTGAGCGCCCGGCATCGAAATATCCTCGAATCATGAAATCACGACGAATTGCAGCCAGTGCATTCCACGTTTCGACCGAGGTCTAACGGATGCGCCTGTGCGCCTAACTTAAGAGCCCTGGCCTCTCTACGAACCTGTCAACCACACCGGCCCGCGCCATGGGGAAGTCCAGTTCGGACCGTCGTCGAAGTGGTTCAGAATTGTCCTCTAAGCCCGCCCGGCGCGCCAATGACGAAGATGGTCCTTCTAGATCACGTACCGATAGTCAATCTATGACTTCCTCCTCGCGACGCAAATCCAGCCGGCCAGACCCTTCTTACAACGGCGACCATGCGCCTGCGGAATCAAGTTTCGCACCCATATTGACGGACGAACCGTCCGAGATATCAAGCACGCATCCAAGTCAGCACACAGCCGACGATTGGGAGCAGATACCTTCGCGCTCACAGAGGGTTCGCGAAAGCGAAAGATCTCCGGCGTACAATGCAAGACGGGGAAACAATGATCAGTACAATGACAGCAACTCAACCAGAAGACACAGCGAGCCAAGCCGCCGTGACTCGCGAAGGTCTAGCAAGACGGATAGGAAGAGCAGCACACGCGGATATGGAGAAAACGAGGCGTCTCTGCCACAGAATCAATTCCCTGGGGAGTTTCCGGCCACTTACTCGCAACCCTATCGACCACCGGGCCTGGCTGCGGAATATTATGGGGACGGCGGAGAGTCAGTCGCTTTTCAGCCGGGAGTTCGACCAGTTCCACCCAGCATTGTCACCAGTGCTGAACAGGCGCATCTGATGGAGCCGACCATTGAAGCCAAACCTCCGCCTGAGCCGAGCACTTTAGGTGCGGTTGGCGCCGCTGCCAGCTTTTTCGGTCCAGACGATTTCAACCACGTCTCCGGCGTTCAGACCATGCCCTCGAAGCTTTTCCAAAAAGTAGACTCTAAAACAAGCAAGCCACCCGTATACAGCAACTCTGTGGCATCTCCGAAACCGAGTCCGCAGGGCATTGTGCCAACTCGACTTGGCGGAGCATCGACGGGAGGTGGTTATCAGACGCCTTCGCGACTCCCAGCTGGCGGATCCTACTCGGGATCCCACCCCGTCTCAGCACCAGCCGACTTTGCGCAACCCCAGCAGCAGTCCAATGCAGCCTTGTATGGCGGTGCGGCCCTCGTAGGTGCAGCAGCTGGAGCCTTCATGAATTCTCAATCCCACCACGAGCAAGCGCACAGCCAACATTATTCTACTGCCACGCATGGCCCACAAGGCTCCTTCCATGGCCACTCACCCTATCACTCCGCTTCAGTCCAGCAGGTTCATCGTCACAGACGGCGTGGACCTCTCGGTAAACTTGTCGATTGGTTTCGGGATCCTGATGCCGTGGCAGAATACGAGCAGTACACTGAGGCGATCGGCGTTTGCAAATATTGTTTCGATCCCATGAGCTCACCGGCAGAGGCGCCCCGCCGACATCACTACCATCGAAGAGTGTCATCTTCAGGAAGTCGGTACGGAAGCTCGACTCGCGTTGACAAGGTGTACAGATACTCCTCCGATGAAGAAAGACGGAAGCGGTCTGGCACAAAGAAAATCGTGGTTGGTGGTTTGGCTGGGTACGGAGCAGCCAAAATTGGCGATGCTATTCTGAAGAGCAAGCACGATTTCGACGATAACCAGTCCGTGAAAACAGGCAGACCAATCAACCGAAATCGAGTCAGTTTCCAAGACGAGGAGTTTGGCCGCTCTCGTCGATCCAGACGCTACTCGTCCTCCTCCGACGCCTACAAGCAGAAACATGACAGTGATCGAAAGACCAGCAAGACTTCAGAGCGACATAACAGGAGCAGTGCGCGACGACGTGATTCCAACTCGTCGCCCCCTTCACTGCATGCGTCCCGAGGTGTTGCAATAAGTACTGCAGCTGGCGCTGCTGCATTAGCAGTAGGAGCGTCATCTGCCGACAAGTCATCTCGACGTCGAAGTAGGAGCAGGAGTCGTTCACCACCAAAGAAACCCTACTACTCAAAACGTGTCTCGCCGATGCATTCCTACGTCGATCTGTCAGCTACAAACACCGGACCAGGCGGCATCGCAAGCTTCTTCAGCAGCCCCTCGGCCAACAAAAAGAGGGGCCAGAAGTCCAGAGGATTCTTCAATTTCGCAAATGCGTCTAGTTCTTCCAGCGATGCGGACCTGGCGTTCGGCGCAGCCACAGTTCGCCGCAAATCTTCCAGAAGGTTTTCCAAAGAACATTCTCACCGGCGTGATTCCAACGCCGCACTCCTGGGCCTTGTGGCAACGGGACAAGCCTTAGCCGATGAAAGTGTCCGGCGGCAGAAAAAGGGTAAGGAAAGATATGATGCTGACGAGATGACAGGACGCAGCAGCAGACGTACGAACCAGCAACGAATATCGGTACACGAAGATGACTTTGTTGAAGGACATGACGATGGATGGTACGACACCGATGATGATGCCAATCAGTCCGTTTCGAGCGTGGACACGGCTTTAGCTTATGGCGAAGAATGGTCAGGCCCCCATAGTCGAGATTCACTTGTTCAACATGAGGGCTACCCACAGCCAATACTCGGCAGCAAAGAAGAGCATGAAAAGCGGCATGAGTTCGATTCAGAGTATGCCGGAGGACGCCACTCGTCCGCTCCTCAACGAACTACGTCAGGCCCATCCACAGAATTTGGTGCAGCAGCCGCGATAGGTGCATTGGCAGCCTCGAGTGGTTATGGCGGCAAGATACCCTCATCAAGCCACAGCAATCTTCCTCCCCTGCGCGAGTTAGAGCCTCGACCAATCTCAGACCTCAATATCAATGAAGCAAGGAATAGATTGGCAAGGAAGAATGAGCCTAGTGCGAACTACATGCCTGAGGGCACAAGAGTCTTGTCGACGTCTGTGCCCCTCCAGCAGCCGCAGCCTGTAACGCCGGTGGCTCCATTCCTTCAAGACAACGACTTCGAAACGACACCGGTCACGGCATATTCTTACGATCTTAGACAACATGAACCTGAGTCGGCGCCTCTCGGCCAGGTTCCGTCGACACAAGGTGAGAAATATGTTGAGAGAGAGCGGGTGCGCCCAGATAGGCGCAAGGACAGCAACAGCAACGAGCGCAGCGATGCTATGCCGGCGCCGTCAGCGACTTCTGAGTCGGTTCAACGTTCAGGGCGGAAGGCGAATCTGATCGATCAACCCTCCTCCGACACACAGCAAAGGCCTCGTGACTCGTCCGACCAAAGAGTACTTCAGATCGAGCGGGAGCTGGAACTTTTGTATGCCGAACAAAAACAACAAGAACGCGAACGCAAGAAGAGGGATCGTGGCTCCAAAGATGGCGTAGAGACAGCTGCAACTGTAGTGGCAGCAGCGGCGGCGGCAGCATCGGCTGTCGTTGCTGTAAAAGAGAAGAGCGGAAGCACTGACAAGGGTGGCAGCCCTCCCCGACGGAAATCGAATTTGAAGCAGTCGAAGGAAAGACAATCATCTCCGCAAAATGAAACTCAGCAAGAAAGGATGGAGAGAATGAAAGCCAAGCCTTCCAGATCAACGACCCCTTCACCAGTTTACGAGAACTACGGATCATTCTTTGTTCCAAAAGAACTTCAGGAACATCTAAAGGAGCACAATGCTAAGGCCGAACACCGAGATGATATTGGAGCAACCGTGGTAGAGATCATCCCAGGGGCTACACGACCAAGGAAGCCGCACTCCTTCGACCCAGACTTATATCGGCCGTTTGGCCTAGACCTGGATGATGACCCCACCTTGTTCCCTTGGCCTGTTCCTTTGCTCAGCCTCATCGAGCCGACCCCACCTGGTAGTCAGGCTCACAGTGTTCAGGGTGATGCGAGTCCAATTATCACGCCTACGTCTGTGTCAGAGTCGGCAGAAAATCCCCGGGACCCATCTGGACCATCAGAAGGCAGGTCTGCCAGGGGAACCAAAGTGACCTGGGGCGAGCATGACACATATGTGTATGAAGTTGCCACGCCTGAGTACGAGCAGACTGGTTATATGCCCGAAGGGGTTACGAAAGAGGAGAAGCTGAATGGCCCTATGCCAGACATCACCAATGAAGAAACGATGTCTTTCGAAGACGCCGAAGATGTGCCTACCCGCCCCACTGTCAGTCGCGTATGGACATTGGACGAAAAAGACGCGGAGAATCTCGAGAAAGAAGTGCCAGTTGTCGATGACAGGCCCAACATCAGTCGTACCTGGACGGTCGACGATTCGGAAGCTGATCAGATCGAACACGAGACGCCGAACGTTCGGCAAAACAATGACAAGCCAGATGAAGAGGCTTCACACATTATCGAAGTCGCGCCTGGGCAATCAGAAATACAGAAATACCCTCAAATTCTTGACGAGATCGACAATGACGTCGGAGGTCCCGCAAAAATGAGGTCTAGTGAGGACCAAACACCTTCAAATGTCTATCGAAGCCCGTTCGCGGAGACTGTGAGTGATCTTGGCA